CGTCCACGTCGTACCCCCCACCTACAACAACGCGGCGACCACCAGAGGTTTGGGGACGTGTGGTGGCATCGCAGTGGATGTTGGAAAATCGACGAGCACCTCCAAGCGATGTTCTCCGTTTTCGCCGCAGGTTGAGCAAGGCATCGCTTCCACAGGACGCCCCCCCCCTCCGCCTAGCGACACTGCCCTGCTGACGAAACAAACCCCGACCGCACTTGGAAACATCACAAACACGTCTTAACTTAATCACTCGATGCAGACGGCATCACAAGAAACACCTATCTATGGTACACGCTCGGGCCTTAGAACATGGCCGAGCAGAGGAAGTCGATCTCGTCGACGGACAAACGCCCTTGGTGGGTCACAGGGGAGTTGACTGGCACGGGTTCTGGGTCGCACACGTGCTCGAGTTTGATGGACATACCATAGTCCGACATGGGGCTGCTGCTGCTGCTCCACAAGTCGTCTTTGAAGATGCCGTCGCAACTGTCGACCGAGAGGCGGCCGTCGTACGAGTCCGTGTCCGAGAAAAACTCGCCACAGTCACGGTGCGCACCAAACGAGCGGCCGGACATGGTCGTGTCGACCTTGCCGTTTTTGTGGTGGGAACCGCCGGTCTTGTTTTCCTTGGCGACGGAGCGCTTTTGCCGGTCAAACTTGCGTTGGATGCGGTTGGCCTTTTCTCGATGGAACATGCACAGTTGATGGAACTGGCCATTGCGCTTGAAGGACCGGTCGTTGAGGCATTTGCCCGTCTTGTAGCGGCACTTGCCGCTGTCGATCATGTCGTTGGACGACGATACCATGAGGGTCTTGGATACAGCAACCATATTCTGCTCGGTGGAGGAGAATCGAAAATGAGCTCGCAGCCGCAGGGGCACCCCGCAGCGGGAATACGTAGGCCCTGCTTTTACGACATAGTGGCACATAGGCGATGGGTGTGTCGGGTGGGGGGGTTGAGTTGGGCCATTGAATTCTATTCCAAGGCCACCATACTGGAACGCTATCAAGGCTTTTATATTTCGCCTGGCCCATGCCACGGTGTGAATTCGCGCGGCACTCGGCCAACTGTGTTCAGCCGTTGTAGCCATCCGGATAAGGAGACGGCCACTGTGGAGGTTGTACTACACTTGGCTGTCAGCTGTGGCACCCCCAAACAGCAATGTTGAAGTGGGACTTCGCGCGGAGGTCGTTGTGGCCACTTCTACGTCCAGGCAAGGCCACCAGGGACGGGGTCGAGCCGCCCTCTTCCCCCATTGCTCCGCAGTCAAAGGCACGCAGGCGTGGAAAGCCCAGCTCGGTTGGGGTATATATATGGCGTTGGCACGGATGGATGGTCGAGTTGGTGGAGTGGGTGGGTCGTGTCGAATCGAGGGTGTCATTTTGGACAGTGTGGACAGATGGCGCCGAGAGCACTCCATCTGAAGGAGTCGATGGCTTCCGTGCGGGTTTTACGGCTGCAGAGTGTGGTATGATAGGCGCCTTACCACCTTCAAACTGTCGAGACAAGCCACGACGCGCAATTGTGTTGTCAAGAGTAGCTGCAGCAGGGCGGGAGTTGTACCGTAGGAGATCTACATGGACAGCGACGTGTGCGAGCGCTGCGCCACGCGCTGCCGCACAACATGCCTCGAAAGGATCGCCCTTTGAACGGCAGGACGATCCACACGTCATATACACCAAATGTTCTTGCTTTTTGCCCAAGCCTCGCCACATTGGATTTCGTGCGGGTTCGTCTGCGGGTATGGCGGCGCTTCCCGAATGGCCCTGTCCATGTTTCTTGCGACAGCACATGCCTCCACCACCCACATGTGCTGACATTTCTTCGACCGCCGAGAAAAAGATCAAGTCGCGAATATAAACCGCAATCTATTCGGAATTACTTTATACAGGCCGTCTTGACTTTCATTGAATCAATTCGCATGACGAACCATGTCCACTCTCAACATCTATTATCCATTTTCCATTGATATCGAATTATACAGGTTCCAATCGCGGACACAACGAAGACAACATGAGGTGGCCGCGCCAACACGATGGCGAGCCTCCCGCCGCTGTTGGACAAGATCCAAATGACTTCGACCGACCACGACACTCCACCTGAGTTCTATTTTGCGAGAGACACTGCGCATCCAAACCTGTCGGGCCGCTGTCCTGGCTACGTGCAGGCCCATCCATGCTGCTGCCCTTTCCAACTTGCCACTGCTCCCGCCACGTACAGGTGGATGAAATATGGAATGTCCGGCGGCTGGTGGTCACTTGCCTTGGGTTCGACAACAATCACATTACACATGTTTCTGCTCGGTGGTGCCGGGGTGGCGCTGTCCTTGCCCACGGCTGGCAGCTTGTTGACGCTTTCGTCTACGACGGCGATCGCAGTCGGAGCACCGGCGGGGCTTCTCCCGCCTCCTTGGGTCCAAAAATGAATGCACATGCGGCGACCCTTCCTCTTTTGTTCATGCCATTGTACCGCATTTGCCACAACCGTTCGCTGGTTGAATCTACTCCGACTGCATCTACACCTCCGTGGTCCTCCCGTTCGAGATTCCAGCCGCCCCTGCAGGGTGGATGGCGTCGTTACGAAGCCTTCCAACGAGGGACACCCTCATTGATATTCCAAACGGAGCGTCGACTATCCAACCGATACGCTGCGTCATGCAATCCGCCAGTCAGTCAGGACTCAGCCTTGTGGCGGTCGCGAACTGCTTTCTCTATCTCGGCGAATGCTTGATGATTTCGCCCGACTTGCGTGAAGTTGAGCAACGGAAGTGGTGCCTCGTCTTTCACCAGCGCAAGGCCCCCTTGACATGCGCAGCTCTTCCCCCCGTTCCACCCGACCAAGTCTTAGCAAGGGACCCCCTCCACCACTTTGCGCATCACGTCTGTCGAATAGCACGGCAGATGGGTGCTCGATACGCTTCCTGGCATGACAACAATCCATGGGGCGGCAGGCAGGGGAGGCAGCGTGTGGTCGTCTAGCTGTGCGACCACCGTCCAAGTGCGAGTTGCATGCGCCAACATAACTCAGTCGACCTATTACATGTATTTGAAGTCGGGAGTGCATTGTGCTTGTCCACAGCATTGCACAGCCCACCACATGCGTCGACGATTTGCACCTCGAACAGACCCTTGGATCGCAATCCGATCCTGGCATGACCAGGAGGGGAAGATTGCGAAATTGTTTTCGACGAGAGGCTCAAACCATGGGGGCGGCCACGTACTACTTCAAAAGCACACGAATTGTTGTGCCAACGTGTGGGATCGGGCCTCAGCTGCGGCCGCGCCGGCAAGCCAAACATCCCACTACGATCCGCACGCTTGAATACACGCGTGCCTTCCCCGACCTGGTGTTTTCCTTTTAACGCTCGCGGTTTATGAACTATAACGCCTAATTTTCAGGTTTCGAGACAAATTTCTCGCACTTGAGTGGCGTCTACGACACGCATACTACACGCTTTTTTGAATTCAACGTCATGAGTTTTTTACGAGTTTTTCGTATGGCTGCCATCGCCCAACTTTATGTCGTATCTTTTACGTGGCGCGGTGTACCCTTCCTTCCTTCTCTGGTGCCTTTGAAAATGCTAGCATGGCATGCCGTTCGCCAGGAGTGAGTCGACACTGCCAATGGACGCCGGGCGGTGTGGACCACCACTCGCTGTGAGCAAAACTGTAGCGACTTGTCCGATTTGCAGTGTCAGCAACGTACTCAGTCGGAGGGGATGATTGAAACGCACAAACAGTTTGGAGAGGACTGAGCCAAACCCATCGGGACGTCTGCCCCCCGCCTTCGCGAGCAGGGCTGGCAACGTGCGTGATACTGTGCCACCTGCCAAACGATGCCAGGCGCTTTTGGCCGACCCAGTTCATCCCATCGATGGGGCAGGTGCTGCCAAGAGAACTCGAAAAACATTTCGTCCACATGCAGCACGCACGAAATTACATCTCTCTCGACGGCGCAGTGACGAAGAAGTCTACGGTGGGCCACGCAATGCAACGCCAAAGAAAGGCAATCTCGACTACCATCCAGCGCCCGCACAAAAGTAGCTTCCCCAAGAATCCACTGGCAGCCTCCGTGACTCTCGCGCGACGTCATGTCGATGCACACGTGTTCGAATGACTCGGATACTCTTGAAGGAGCAGCGTGCTGCCTTTCAAGGGAAATGCGTTCTGGGGTGGCTGTCGGGGGATGCCTGGGGGGGTGGCCTGGCCCCACAATTCCAACACTTGGACGCCGACAACACCTCTGGGGTGGCGCATGGACGAACCCGCATCGCTCTTTGCGCTTGGATATCCCCAGCATATGCGTGGGGGGGTGAGTTAGTTATCAACGCCCCCTCCTTGTGCTCCATGGGGGCTAAATATACATTGCGAACGGCGTCGCATTTCAGGCATACCTGCAGCAATGGGCGTCGACTCGGCGCCGCTCGTGGCCATGCCGCCCGCGTCGTGGGCGCACGAGGTACTCAGCAAACGACTTCGTTTGCCCCCATGGACCTTTGGACGACTCAATCGTTGTCGTGGGTAGCCCGTGTTTCGAACGAAAGGAGATCTGCTGCAGGCGAGATGCAAAGAGAAACTCCGCTTGGCATCAGCATTTGCCACGGAGAACGGCGGGGTCAAAGCTCCAAGCCATGGCCGGCGTTATGTTATGAGTGGCGCGATGCACCCACGTCCGCAACGCGAGGAGATTTCAGCGGTTGAGAGGGCCCAAGTCGACCACATTGTATTTGACGACGAAGACGACGACCGTGAACCGACCAAGACGCGGACCGAGCTGAGGCTCAGTCGTCGGCAGGGCGATCTGATGCAGCTCCAATCGGCCTACCGAAATGCCCCCAGCAACAACAATCTCGAAGGGGTGGAAAAACAACCCGCGAAATTGTCTAAAGCTGAAAAGGCGCAGATGCAGAAGGAGCGCTGTGGGCGCACTCGCACCAGTATTCTCGTCGAGCGAGCACAAGAACGAGTGAAGATCAACCAGATCTACCAAGCCCTTCTGGCACAGGACCCTGCTGTCAGCGACATGGATCGTCGAACGGCGGCCTCGGAGTGGTGGAAGCGGGAGCCAGGATACGTGGAAGACCCGTCGGCAATGCTGGCAGCATCGCATCGGTTGCGTAAGAGCACTAGCCAAGGGCTTAAATTCGACGGCAGCAAGTCGAGGACTGTCACGGTTTGTCCATGTGCCGAGAAAGTCGCCATGGCCTCACGCGCGCTAGGTCGAGGACCTCATGGACAAGCGCTCCAAGGCAAGCGAGTTTCCAGACAAAATCACGCAGACGCCGTATCGACCTTCCACCGCCGGCGCACGCGTGCGGCGCAATGTCAAGTGGACGAATGCCATCATTCAGTTTTCGAAACACTCGACAGAAAACACAGAACTGATGGACAAGGTACACCCATCGACGGCTCGATGCGCGATAGTGATTGTGCGGCACGCAGTACGATCTGAAGTTCAAGGGGCCGCTCGACAGTAGCTTTACCAAGGACAGGTTATTCCGGGAGGACCGTATCAAGGGGATGCCACAGCGGGTGCCAACGCCACCGGTGCGTGCAAGGTTGAAATGCCTTTGCAGTGACCGAGATATGCATCAGGTCGATCCCTATGCCATCGACAAGTCCGTCAAGGCAACCAAGAAACTCTTGGCCGAGGCTGCATCGAAGCGAATGGCACTGAATGCCCGCAAGGCAGAGAAAAGTACGAGGAGTGTCTACCATGACGGTGAAAACTGACAAAGGAGGGTGGCATGGTGTAGGCGACCCCACCGCAAAAGTTGAGGCTCAAGTGCTGCCGCCCACGTACTCAAAAGCCGTATACTCGACACCGTCCCCGACTCACCTCAGCACGAACGCGCCTCTGCATGTTCGCGCGAGTGGATTCCAACACATCGACGTCGATCGGATACTTCGCTTGAACGTCAATGCTCCGGTCGACTTGGCAGTTAAACATGGCATAAGTTAGGGAGTTATGCTGTCTCGTTCCTATTGTTGGTGGTTCTGCGCGACCCAGTGGTTCATCCAACCAATGATTCGCTCGACGTTCGATTCCATGTCGGCGATCGTCACGCTCGGAAGCTCTTGAATGATGTCAGGGACGTAGCTCTCGTGTGCATCTTGCAGCACGACCTGCATGATTTCGCACTCGACATTTTCGGTCACCTTGTTGGCGGTGTAGCCACGTTGCGTCAGTCGGTCGAAGAGCGTCGTGTTGTCCGTGCGAAGCACAACAACCTACGTCCACGACAAATCCCCCTTGAGTCTACATCGTTCATAGTTGAAGTTGCCATGGACGCACCAGGTCGAACCAGCGCTCCGGGAAAAAGTCGCAGGTGTGAAAGTCCACCACGATGCCGCCGTCGGGAGAACTCATCATGTCATCCATTTCATCGACCACCTTGTCTTCGTCCAGAACGAAGCAGTCGAAGGCTTCGTCACGCCCAGCGTGCAAGTCGCGCTCCTTCACCTATGTGGCGAAAGCAATCACACAGAGCAAACAAAGCGTTGGACGCACCAAGTCGCCAACGTTCACATTTCGCAACGAGGTTCGTTCCTTTTCACAGAGAACTCATCAGTCGTGCATGCATTCACGCGCACATGAGACGGTGTGCATGTACCGCCAAGAGCTGACAAAGCGTCGTCTTGCCCGTGCCTGGGGTGCCGGTGACGAGGATGTTGGGCAACCGGCGCGCCATTGAATTTTGAAATGGCCCAAGTTCCTTGCTATTGGTGGCAAATGATTACAAATGCATTATGGATTGGTCCAAATTGATGAATTGTAACCAATAAAGTCGCATAATTACTGAACAACGTTTCAAACTCGGTCGAATTCTTGGGCAAGGAGGTGCGATCGGTGAATGCGGCGCTGGATGGTCTGCCGCGCATCATACTTGACGCGCTCGGCTTCGTTCAGGACGACGTTCATGATCAAGTCGAAGGTTCGGAACCAGCTCACGTCCTCAACAACTTTGTGAGACTCGGGCCATGGCGTGTCTGCTCCGTCGCGGTACTCAACGTAGTGCAGGCCGAGGTATTGGCACAAGTTGCGGTATCCATATCGAAACGTAGTCAGAGGGAAGATCTCGACCACAAACGTGTTGGGGGACGCAAAGATGACGTTTGCCATGCCCGCACCGTGCATTCCCACGACGACGCGACTGGTGCTGATCAGCTGAATTTGCTCCGCCATCGACTTCGTGGCGAAGTCAATTGACTGCACCGTGCACATAGGGTAATTGGTCTGCATCTTTGAGGTGATTTCTTCTTCGTTGAGCCACATTCGGGCCACGCGTCGCCCGCTGTACTCTCTCCGCGACACAATCGTGATGATGCAAGTCGTGGAGACAGTCGTGTTGACTGTAGACGAGTGCGCCACCAGTGGAAGATCAAAGGCTCGGAAGACATCCGCGCGAAAGTCAGAGATCAAGCGGCTGTCGTGACATAGTTGCTCGTCGTCCAAGTGCTCCACGAGTGGCCCCGCGAATTCAAACGGCAGGAAAACTGCTTGGTCAAAGTGGAGAGTTTTGCCAACAATCGAACGACCATACGTTATGGAGTGTCGCGGCGCCAAGAGCTTCTGCATGAGAACGTCCGTTGCCATGGGTTCTCCATCGTCCAAGATGAAGAGTTGGGTCGACGTCATTTCTAGTTGGAGCAATTTGAGCAATGTCCACGCATTCAGGGCCGACGCTATTTGAAAGAACGGGTTATGGTCGTCCTTTCGAGCAAGGAGGAGTGCCGTGGGTTTTACCACTACCGCTGATGCGTCTGGGAAAACGGGCGGACTATTGCATTGCCACGTAGTGTCGTTGGATGGAAAGAATTGGCTCACGAGGATTGAGATCGCTTCAGTCGACGCGTCAAAGGCACACTGACACCGGATCCGTGACGATGTCAAGCGGTAGCGAGGATCGTGGTGACCGCCGTCCTCGCTCGCGTTGCGAATTGGGCTCACAGCTTGCGCTTGTGAAAAGTCCAATGCGAAAGCCGTCCACAGCGACCCGTCGTTCCATCCGACACTGTCCAAGTGGGTGATGGTCGTTGACTCCGTGGATGATGACTTGCACACGGTGGTGGGGACGATAGAGTCGAGAAGTCCATAATCCACTTGACGGTAGCATTGGGTAAAGTTGTAGGATACAAAGTAATCGTCATCGACGGATTGCGTTGGCTTTCGATGGTGGCGAGAGGTGGGAACGCCGTGCGGTTGCCGCTCAACCATGGAGGTGAAAGTGGACTGGTAATCAACGTCCAGCACATGTAAGATCGATATGCTTATTGCGATCCACACGATCAGGTAGGCCCCAAAGCTCCACATGACATGTGTCAGCCGCAGTTGTCGGACGAGCGCCATCGCAAGAGTTGTGCGGTGCTGCGGCGGCTTTCCCGTCATTGTGAGAATTTTGATTGCAATTGCATTTGCGAATTTTGAACCAACGCAATAATCGGATATCAAGTATAAGGGTTCTACTTTTTGCTAAATATGATATGTTACAGGTTTTCCTACATTGTCCGAAACGACCACCTTGCGAAAAGTGCGATGTGGGCCAACTCGGCGCGGCATGTGTCGCGCAGCGTACACTTGATGCATTCGCGCGCTACAAGCCCTCTCACGCGGATTCCATTAGCGCCTATGAAGGGTTTCAACGTGCAAACCAGTCGCATTGGTCGAGTGTCGCTCCGTCTGACGAGTTCCATCGCCACAACACCTGCAGGCGGCAATGCGATCTCGTGGGTCGCTGCTTGTGCAACCGGTGGCTTTGCTGGCGTCGTTTCGGCCCTGACAGGCGTGGGAGGGGGTATTATTATCCTCCCGGTGGGACATCATGTTGTGTGGAATGGTAGTTGGTTCAAATTCATCGTAGACACTGGCTAAATGGACCAGCCTGACCCAGCAAACTATCAATGGCACATCAATCGCCGCGGTCACGGTCAGCGCCTCCGTGGGCTCAGTAAACTACCTCACCGCTGGAGCTTGCAACGTCCCGATGGCCGTCCTGGTCTCATGCTCTTCGGTGTTCTTTACGAAACTGGGGGTGCAGCTAGCGCACAAGTACACTTGCAAAGCGAGCTACGCCTCGTTCTCACGCGTGCAACTGTGTAGACTAAGTCAAGTCCATTTGCGACGTGTTGTGGGCACAGCCATGCTCATTAGTGTTCCGTTTATCTACTTCAAGGACCGCCTCCAGGAATGGAAGCGAGGGCAAGGCGACCCAGGGCGACCCTTAGCTCTGTCCGAGAAGCTCGACTTGCAATACTTCAACGACCACCCGTCCTTTTCGTCGTACGTAGAAGCAGTGTCGGCTGACTGGACTGGGTTTGCCGCCGGGAATGTAAAGTACTTGGTGGCTGGGGCCTTGTCTGGCTTCATCTCTGGTCTCTGTGGACTAGGAGGTGGAATCTTGGTCAGTCTCTCACCTGTTGTCACGCAGGGGTGATGACTCATCTATATGGCTAGATGACAACTTACTTGACCGCTGCAAGCGACATGCCGCAGTCCCACATCATTGGGACGTCCTTGCTCGGCATTGTGCCCGTGGGCCTCTCGTCCACATACCACAACCTGAAGAAGCAGTCGCTGCACCTCCCCACGGCGCTCAAGATCGGTGTCGGCCTTGTCACGGGTGTCGCAGTCACGTCCAAGTTTATCACGCTGCAAATGTCCCAGGACAACCTGCGCCTCATTCTCGGGTCGACCCTCGCCACCTCGGCCATCGTGATGCTCAAGAAGGCGTAGGCAAGTTGCGAATACATTGACGTTTATTTGATAACGCATGGCCATTGCTGGCGAATATTGTCGGCCATGGCGTTAAGGTAGCTTCTTCTCGTACACGCGTTCTTGCGTGACTGGGTCGACCCCAAAGATCTCGACGTATTCCACCTTGGGAAGCCCCCAACTGGTCGTCGACTGGACGTACACCCGCTCCAAGTACACGTTCGCCTTGCCGTTAACAGTCGAGCGCGCACGAACCTGGCCGTTTGAGTCAACAAAGATGACGATTCTTCGATCTTTTAACGATGCAAGCGCCACGCCGTACTCCCCCGCGGTCGTTTCGGACGGGGTCGCTGTAGCGCCATACGCAGTGTTTCTCTCGATCATGTTCAACTCTTCTGTCGGGACGGGGTTGCCGGGTAGAGCGAACATGATCCAGTAGATGTGCAATGGGGCTTTGGGGTCGAGGGCTACGTTGTTGGATGCCAAGTTGCCCTTGTACACGACTGTATTCGCATTCTGTGCGAGAGAGGAGTTAGTTGGATGCTTGTGAAACATACTCCACTTACATTACTGCGCTGAATGATAAATGCCGTTTGCGCATCAATTTCGCGCACCTTCTGAAGTTCGGGGTGAGTGGAGGCGACGCGGATGCTACTCGGAGCGACGGAGGCTTCGGCTTCAGGCTCAACTGCGTCCTTCCTGCACATGGAATATCAACTATTGTGAATGGTGATGCTGAGGACGTTGGATGGTACGTGCATGATAGCAGTCGTTTTCTTCTTGGGCTGCTTGCCCGCGGTAGGTTGTGCTGGCGCAGGAGGAACCGTCGGTGCTGCTTCAGTTGCAGACGGGCTGACTGCAACTGTTGCTCGCCCTTTCGACTTGGGTTTGTTGCCCAGTGTGATTTGCTGTGTTTTGGCACTGATGAGTGCGTCAATTTGTGCGAGTTCATCTGTCAAGGCCTTCTTGCGTTCGTGAAGGTCGTGGACTTCGTCGATGAGTGCCTGCTTATACTCTTCCTTTTCTCGCTTGAGCGCCTTTACGAGGGCTTCAATCGTCGCCTGGCGTTCGTCCAGTTCTCCTTGCAACGACATCACCACCATGTTGGCTTGTTCCGCTGTGGCATCGCTTCCCCATATCCAGCTCATCGCTCCTCTGCTGGTCTTCTGTTGTCGTCCGTCCTGCAACGGGCTCCCGAGTGTCGGAAGAGAGTACTAAATGACACATGGCACTGATCCGGCGACATGCCGAATTTCGACTGAAAAAAGGACAAACCCGAAAATTCGTGGGATATTTCTAGAAAGACCAACATTCGGCTTTCTGTTCTCAAAGCACTTGGTAAGGCGACCGACACCATCACGCCAAGTCTCACAACCGAACTCCACGCGTAAACATGAGGGCGCTTACAGGCATCTCCGTGGACACGAGCAGCACTCCATGAAGCGGGCGGTGATTTCACAAGGGAAGAAGGCGCCGTGAGCTCGCGGTTGAATCCGTCATCCGGATAAAATAATGTCAGTGATTGGACGCCGGATGTTGATGGAACAGAAGCCCTCGGGGTGAGCCAATCACTGGCCTGGGAATGGGATCGGCTTCCTCGAGGGCACAATCCCATCTTCCACGAGATCACCATGGCCGAGTTCTTCCGCCGCGCGCTGACGAACCTACTGAACGAGCAGGCTGTTAAGACCCTTGCGAACAACAAAGCGTTCCAGAACTTTGCCTTGCGCACGCACTTGCACGTGGAGCAGACCAAGAAGACTGTTGCGGAAATGGCGCAGAAGGACATTAAACCGGAGGAAGCACTTCCTGCTATCAAGCACATCAAGGAGTTTGGCCAGGCACTGAAGGAAGAGTTCCAGAAAGACTTAAGGAGATTCAAATAGCAGCACGGTGGGTTCGGGAGGTGTCGTCGTCTCTCCTACCTCGAAGTGTTGACCCTTCAACCATTCTAATCCAAGTAATGCATCCATCCATCCACGTAGTTGAGCCCAACACACACCTTTCATATTCGACTCGTGTTCATGCCAAGGAAAGGGAGTATTCTCTGACTAGGACGTTCTTACGTTGGTCAGTTCCCGCCATCCGCCCGTAAAACTTCAAAAATCAGCTTGCGCCACATCGTCAACACAAACGTCTCAGCATCTTGCTCCAGCACAGGGACCAGTTCGTCCACGATTGCCTGCGGCGCTGTGCGTTGATGCAGCTGGCGCAAGACAAATCCGATCAACGTGCTTTCTTCTTCGCCCAAGTACTCAACAATCTTCTTCGTCACCCATGGCGTCATCTTCTCCTCGACGACCTTGTACTACACACCGGTGACACTCCCATCAGAACATTCGCACACGATCTTCCATCTTCCCACCTTTTCGGCAGCGCTCCAGTCCACAGGGTACTTAAACAGGCCCTTCTTGTCCGTGGGAATGCTCTTGATGAGGCCTTCCACTCCCTACCACCATCCATCATCACGTTGTCGTCACATGAAAAAATGCAACGGGGGACGTACATCCGACCGGCTATTAATGCGCGCGACGGTTCTGGCCACCTATTCGGCGTCAGTCGCGCTCGTTCAAGATGCCGCTACCTGTGCTTCGACCGACGCCGCCAGCTTCTCTTCGTCCGTGTAGTCCAACGGGACAAAGTCGCGCTGCGGTTTCGCTGTTTCTTCATCGTCCACTCCAAACACGGCGCTGGCGACCGCCACTGGCGCCGATACACTGGGCGGTTCATGTCAACGTTCTGTCGCGTGGTGTTCGACGTACCTCGGTTTAGCGTCACTCTTGTCCTTCTTTTGCAGTTTGAGCTCAATCTTGGCAACTGGACGACGAGGCGGTTGCGGCGGAGGGGCCGTGGTAGATTCGTGGGGATCACTTCGCGGCGCTGTCGTCGCCGCATCTCTGTTTGGATTTGTTGATGCACTGGGCGCTGGCGGTGCACTGGTCAGTTGGCGAGAGTCTCTGGGCGAGGACTCTCCAGGACTGGAGTTCCTCCGGTAGCGGCTGACGCGATCTCGACTGCGGCTCCGACTGCGACTTCGACGTCGCGAATCGCGGTAACGACGGTCTCGGCTTCGGCTGCGGCTACGGCGGTATCTATCGCCGCGGCGCGGAGGAGACAAGCGGCGGGAGGGCTCGTTTCGCGTTTCAATTTTGGGCTCTTGTTCCTTTACGGAATTATCGGCAGCACAAGTGGCACTACTCAAGATGTGAACAAGGCCGTTTTGGTCAAACTTACCTTTTCTCCGCGTCTTCCTTGTCTCGACGGAGCTTCTCTTGGATCAACGCGAGTCGCTTTGCTTCCAATTGCGCTGTGCGCTCTTCTTGCGCCAAGCGGAACTTCTCCACTTCGCTCATGATCATGCCTCCCCGCACGACTTCCTTTGCCCCTGGACAAAACATGCGTGAGCGAATGGCCAGATCAAGGGGACGTACCTGAATCGACGTTCTCCATGAGGTCTCCCCACGACGCAATATCATTGTTGTACCCGCCATGCAACCCACTTCGCTCTTCAAAGAGACGTTGGAGCATCGCCGCAACGCGCTCGTTCTTCTGGTCTTCTTCAAATTGCAGTTCCGGCGGCAATTGGGCCGAGTACTCGTCGAGTTTTGTCTGCGTCGTCGTGTCCACCTTGAGCAGGATATTTTTCGAGTCCAATGAAAACCCATTCAACAGCTTAAGCGCGCGAATGCAATCCAGAGCGGTAGCGTACGTGCAATACCCAAACGCTTTCGCTTTACCCGAGATCGGATCTGTCGTGCGCTTCCACTGCACGACAGTTCCCACGCGCTACGTCGGATTTCAACGGTGATGATGGATTGAAAGCTATGATGTCATGTGCCTTTCGTCTTCTCACCTCGAGCAAATTTCGAACGTAGTTGTCGTGAAGATCGGGAGGCAACTTTCCGACAAACACGTTCAGTGGTCCAATTTCAGGAGGAGCCTGAACTACTCTTGCGACGGGTGGCTGAATCAACACCGTGTGTGCCATAGGTGGAGGCATAGGGATACTCCCTAGCGGGATCATCGGCGGCGCCACGGCAAACGGCAGCATTGGAGGAGGGCCACGAGGTGGAGGGTTCATCTCAAATGTACCAACAGGGCTAATTTTCCAGAACCCTATCCGCATAATATTACCGGATAACATCTACGTTAATTAGCATTTTGGATCATTATGTGCAGGTTTCAGTTAATTTACTTGTTGAATGTTCACTTGACTTCAGTATATACCATTAACGGAGAGTGAATGTCGGCCAGGATCGAGATGTTTTTGGTCGCATAATTCATTCTCGCAATTTCCGCAACAGAAATGTTCATAACCGTTCAAGAGTTCGCCAAGGAGCGCTACGTGGTGGAGGTACCCCGCGAGGCCACTTTGGAATCCCTCCTGCAAGCCATCGCCGCAGTGCGCCCTTCGATCAACGTGGCCGATGTGAAGATCGAATTTCCCGGTATGTCGTGCCCCCAGACGCTTTCATGACAGCGCTTGGTCGTGGAATGTTGCTTTTACCTTGTGCTAGAGGGACAACCCATTCCATCAGGTGCATTGTTGCCCGCTGGGGTCCAAGAAGGGTCCACCGTCTTTCTTCGCGGGTACACTTGACACTGCAACGAATGCACCCCAAACTCACGACAATACAGACCGTCCTTGGGTCATCAAGATGACACGGACTCTGTGACAGCCGACGAGATCGCAAGCACGATCATCGTCACGAACATTCCAGTGGCAGACAAGGTATATATCTTGAAGTACCGTCGATACCCAGTCATGGCAAAAATCGCTCCGTCTTGGTAGACTTCGACCGAAAAGGCCATCACAGATTTCTTTTCCAAAAGCGGATCGATCAAGCGTCTCATCTTGTAGGAGTACACGAGCCCATATACATCGCCGTGCAATCTAAACCCCAAATTTTAATGCCAGGGACGGCGACAACATCAACCAGCACGCAGTCATTGTGTTTACTACTCCTGAAGCTGCCACCATTTCGTTGCACCATTCCGGCGCAACTCTGTTGAACGGCACCATTACAGTGGTCGCTGCCAACTCGCTCTCTGCGGACGCTCCGCATCCTTCGCGGTCTGGGGCAGGTATATCACCGCTCGCTCCATGAAGTTCGACGGTCGCCTCATGCCTTGCATGCCCAGCTGTGAAGTCCATTGCGAAAGTTCTCGCCAGTGGGATTTCGTCCGCCAAAGACTTTGATGGTGCGTTGGCCGAATTTGATCATTACTATTATGTTTTTCATGTGTTAGAACAGCACAAGATTTCGCTGTCTGTGAAGAGTGCAGCGGAGGTTGCAAAGCTAAAGGCCAAGGAGCTTGACTCACAGTTCAAAGTGTCGGAGAAGTTCTCGGAAGGTATCGTGCACTTGAGCCATACGAACCAAGGATTAACATATTGTGCAAGTGGACGAAAAATTCCATGTGACTGAAAAAGCCACAAAAGCGACCAACTTTGCCATTGGGACCGCTGGCCTCGCCGCAAAGTCGGCCATGGCAAACCCCGTCGTGTCGATTGGTGTGAAGAAGCTCGGCAGCATGTTTTCGTCCGTCATGTCGGTGGCATCGCACGCGGTAGACGAAGTGAAGACCCAAATCCTAGTGGAAGATGAGAAACGGCTGAAGAGCCCCACGAGACAATCAGGCGAGTCATCGGTCTTTCCGTCGCCGGCCTCTGGGGTGGATGGGCCTGCTGCGGCCCCCGCCGTGGTGCCTCCTCCCCTCCCGACGACGGTCGCAGCTGTGGCTCCGCCAGCGCCCGGCGGAAACTACAAGGACATTTAGACTGATTCCTTCCTCAGTATCTGCCCAGCCTAGAACGCGCCAAGCAACGAGGACTTAGTCAGATTATTAAATTCAAACCTTCGATATTTCGGATTTGATGGAATTTCCACAAGGGATATTTGGCGTTGAAGAGAAAATATCGCCGGCCGTTTGACATACGTTCGATCTTCGCAATTTGAAAGGTCACGCGATCTCAGAAATGCAACCGAACGAGGCGGCGGCGCTCATTCCGCTGGACGTGTTGTACAGCGCGTGCTTTGGTTATGTGAACGTGAAGGAGCGGTGGCAAAGCCTCGCGCTGGTGTCGCGAGCATGGCGGGTGGCTGCTCTGGCGTCAGTGAAGGCGCTGCGTCACTTGGATTTGGTACATCTTGCAACCTCACTCATGTGGAAAGCAGCTCACAGTATATTAGACTTGGTGTCGTGGGGAAGACCAGCTCGAACATGCGGTAACACTCCCTTCCCCATCCATGGTTCCATTGCAATAAACAGTGGCCGTGGTCAGGTTCGCATGCTGTTGATGCCGTTGGCAGATGATGGCCACAAGACCCTATGGACTGCGTTTACTCGCGTCCAATTAACGTCTATTCGTCTGTATGGACCTCGCGTGACCAAGGCAACCCTGTCGGGACTGCTCTGTGGCGTAGACCCCCTTCAGTTCCACTGCATCGTCCTCGAGAGCAAGCAGGCCGACGCTCCAGAGTTCCTCCTTCTCACGCAATGCCGCCGTCTCCGCACGCTGCATTTGAACTGCATCAAACTGACTGACAACGGTATACTTCTCTGAGCTCCATTGCTATCCTACGACCGCACCTTGCAATGACATATCGTAGACCTGGTCCAGGTTGCGATGGCGTGCCCTGATTTGGAGGACGTCGGTGTTGCCGGGTGCTCTCGCATTGGCGACCAAAGCCTTGTGGCCATCGCGATGCACTGCCCTAAGCTACAAGTGCTCGATGTGTCCATGTGCATTCGAATCACCGACCACGGGGTGCATGCGCTGGCATTGCACCCTCCCACATTCACGTCCATTTCAATCAACAAGTGTCTCAAGGTACAGCCACAACCACATTTTGAAACGTCACGTTGGTTCGACTCGACAAGGTATCGGACGCTTCGGTGGCCCATCTTTTGCACAAGCAGCACAATTTGACACACTTGTCAGTGGCCAACTGCCCGAGACTGCACCATGCCCTGCTCGTCGCGCCTCCACAAGGCGTTCCATCGCGCTTGGTTCACGCCAACTTGATGGGCTGTGCCGCCATCGACGACACGCCGCTGCCTAGTGAAACAATGGGCAGCTTCAGTAGATTCCTGCACCAACACAGCAAAACACTCACGCATCTCGACCTGACCGGACTGATCCATTTGCCGTCAACGTCGCTCCAACGGCTTGCAATGTGCGACCAACTCGTGTCACTCAACCTGTCCATGTGCCGCACCGTGTCGGATGCGGATGTTGCCGTCCTTGCTGCCGGGTGTCCTCGCCTGGAGGATTTGTCCGTCCAAGGATGTGTTCACCTTACAGACGCGGCGCTGGTGGCCCTGGCGTCGCACTGCCACGACCTGCAGCGACTCTCGCTCGTGTTTTGCTACAACATCACCGATCACGGATTCTGTGCCCTTGTCAAGCGCTGCCTCAAGCTGACCCATCTAAACGTGAAAGCGTGCAACTCGCTCCACGAAGTGTCGTTTGCGACCCTGGCAGGACGACCAAGTCCCGTGGCGCTGGCGAATCTCGTCATTGGGGCATGCGCCAACTTGGCGACCACGGCCAAGTACGCAAGTATGATCAAGCAGGCATATCCCCGCTGTATTGTCATGTGGACTTAATGAGATTCGATGGGTCTTCATGGCGGAGAACACCTTCCTGTGTCCGTTCGACATACGTCTCGACATTGCCGTCTCGACATTGCCGACCACGAGTTGCAACTCAGGTGGAGTTTAGTTGGCAGTGGTGGTGGTGATGTCATGCAAACCACATTGGAGCCAGGGTCATGGACGTGGTTCGATCTGCCACAGACACGGCAGTCGCATGACAACATCCCATGGGCGGACCCCCCTCGGCATCCTTGGGGCCAAGAACAACTTTCAGAACAAGTCCCCACTACTGTTGAACGCACCACAACATCTCGACGCAGTCCCGCGTCTTTGCCCACCACATCAAATGGAATCCTGTCGTATGTGAACAAAACCCTAGGTGTACATCCTCCGGGCTGCAGGGACCCAAGCCGTTCGACCGACCTTGTACATCCTCGACGCCGCTTGGGCACGGGCTGCACGGTCCCAAGCCGTTCGACCGACCTTCCAGTCTCACGCTGCGCGACTTGTGGTCGACATAAATCCAACAAGGCGGTTTCGCAACACGAATGGCTATTTATTCCGCCAGTCCACTGCGGTGCCCATCTCTTGTCGCAGTATACAACGCGGGATGAGCGACGGCGTCAAGGGAATGCCTCCAAACACCCCGCCCGCCAAGAACGATGCCGACGAGATGGAAGAGGGCGAAGCGCCGTCTCCGCTGAAAGCGAATATCCACTCGGATCGCCGGGAATCGTTCACGCACATGAAAACGTATGCCAACATCACATCGGATAGGCCCGTCATGCCGATGCTCAAAGCACTCAAGGAAGCCCCCAACTTCCGCCACTCGTCCTTCTTTGAGACGTCCACCGTCAGCAAAAACCACGACGAAGCTGGCCACAAGCGATTGAATCAATAGTAGTGCCTCTACTTGTCGCGGCCATTGACGTGTGTGTGTTGTAGCATCCTGTACAACGTGATCGGCCAAGGCGCGTACGGCAAAGTACGCAAAGCATACTGGCCCGAGCGAGACAAGTATTACGCCATCAAGATCATTAACAAAAAGGCACGTTTGGCCGCCTCGAGGTTGCTCATCGTGAAATGTAGCACGTGCGGCGGTTGTCTCGGTCGACGAGGGGGCCTGGGGGCGACGGGCTCGAGGGAATTCGCAAAGAGTTTGCCATTTGGAAACAGCTCATCCACCCCAACATCGTCAAACTGAAGGAAGTGATCGACGCCCCTCGTAAGCGGATACCTTTCGTCCACACTCCATCTTTGCCGTAGAAAGCGAAAAGATGTACATGGTCAGCGAGTTGATTGAAGGGGGCTGCGTCGTCGATGGCGAGACGTAACGCGCGTCATGGACACGTGCTGGGGACTTACGGCAACTATTGTAGAACGTGCACGCCGCTCGTGGAGACGCAAGCAAATCGATTCTTTTGCCAGCTCGTACGTCGGGCATGGACATCTTTCCACTGCTCTCGACGTGACGCGTGAGATGCTCGGTCTAGATCGAAGGCATTGACTTTTTGCATTTTCACAAAATCATCCACCGCGACATCAAGCCAAGCAACTTACTGGTGGGAAGCGACGGCGTGCTCAAGATCACCGACTTTGGCATGTCCCAAGTGTTTGAGAACGAAAACGACGACTTTCGACAGACGGTCGGGACCGGGCCATTCCTCGGTACACTGCGGCGGCATTCGTAGACCTCACCCGAACGCGTAGCACCGGAAATGCTGACCGGGGGCAAGTTCAAAGGCAAGGTCGGTTGTATTCTCATGACTTCGTTCCAGTCGCGACGACAGCGTTCACCATGTCGTGCATGTGTGGCAGCCGGTCGACATTTGGGCGTGTGGGGTGACGCTGTACATGTTTGTTTACGGGCGCCTTCCCTTTCAAGCGGATCGCATCCCCGAGCTATACGACAAGATCAAGGTCGGCATGTCGGTGTCTCCCCCTTAAAGTAGCTCACACTGCGGCGCAGAATCAACCGGTGGAATACCCCGCCCACGTCGGCGACCGCCCCATCCATCCCGACTTGATCGACTTATTACAAGGCGTACGAGCAAAATCTCTGGTCTCTCAACGACCTCATACCCATGTCGGCAGATTTTGAACCGCGACCCCGACGCAAGGCTCACCACTGCTGGCATTCGAGTTCGCTTCAGCACTGCGTGTGGCCAACTAAACCAGTCCGCCCGTTGTAGGCACACAAATGGACCAAGTCCATGTTTAGTCGGGTCTCGAGCTTGGTCATGCTCGAGCCGATTTCGCTGACCCCCGAGCACGTCATCTCGGCGATCTCGCCTATCCATCTCTACGAGAAATTGCATTCCAAGATCAAGGCGCTCGTCTTGGTCAAGTACGTCATCGTCGACGATGCTGGATCGTTTGTTCATGCGCGTCTGGTAGCAAACTCGGCCACGCCATTCAAAAGAACGATCGAATCTCGCTCCCGACCCTGACGTCGCCCGAAAAAGCGTTGTTGGAAAATCCCGACAAACCTAACGACGCACCCCCTCGGCCCCATGTCAAAGCCACCATCATCAGTGGTGGCATCAACCATCAAGAATCTCCCATCGCACCGACATCGGCGGCATCCCAGACTCCATCCCCACGCACCACGTTCGTCCGAGCTACCCCAGGGACTCCCCCAGAGAATTCCAAACACGCTGTCGCGAAGAAGGCGGTGGTGTTGGAAGCTAACGACGGTTCATCCACCACCAACCAAGCATCCGCGTCGGCCCCCTTGCCTTCGTCCCGTAGCGTTGCCAAGGTACCGACAACGATCCACGTGGCGTCGCTTCAGCCAGTGGGATAATTCGAATGCATCCAAACGATTCCACACAACTCGTGCAGGCGAAAGACATTCATTGAATTCCGTCGGATGGGAGGCACTACGATGGCGGCACTGGGCTGTCCTTCTTTGACGGAGACAGTCGAAACAACGGAAGCGTGAGTTTCTTGGGGGACAAGCTCAGCACCTTGGCAAACTTGTCCGTCTACAAATTCGATAGTCGGCGCCATGAGGACAGAACGATAGATTCGAATGGGCGTACAATAGATTCTTGAATGGTCGCCGGCGTCAATGCCTGCTTCTCAAACGCCACTCGGGGCAGCTCACGATGCATAATCACATCGATAGCTTCCTACATCGCCCGCGTCCCCCTCACACGACGCCATGTACGGACCGTCCTACCGCCAAGCCCAACTTTTCCCCGAGGGTCGTCAACGGCAAGTTATTCGACGGGGTGCTTGTGTAAAACTCGCACACTTCGCACCGCCGAGTGGCTCGGCAGAGGCGACACTTCTCGACCGTGAGACCTTCGCCCCTCCCATACCTAGACGACACCATGACACTGGATGCCCACACATGCTAACGTACAATTGAAAGCACTTTGCATATGCCTCGTACTGCCGCAGAATTGTCGCGTTGTCCGGGTCGGCTTGGATGGCTTTGATGTAGTGGTCATGGATCGACCTATCGACGAACGGTGGGTTGCGACGGCGGCGAGGCGCCGTCGTACGTGGCGCTGGAGAGGGGGCGCATCACAACCAACGTCACATTTTTGGCGCACTGCACCGACGACACGTGGCCCACGTAGTTGAACGCGTTGTACACTCCAAACACTTCGACCTGGAATGCGATGACGACGTCGGGACCGAGAAGAAAACAAAATGCACTTGCGCGGCGTACTTGAGCCACATGCAGGTACCGCTTGCCCTTGACTTGGATTCGAATGTACCTACCATTCATGTCAGTTTGTGGACCTGAAGCGGATGCAAATCAGCGCACCTGCCAACAGTCCCCGTGGACGGCAGCACCCACTCGGTCAAGCGGTGATCTTCTGTAAATTGCGCGCTCGCGTTGCTGTGATCGCGCCCTGCTTTGAGACTTGCCTCGACACAGTCCCGTGGTGACCGTCAACGCTTTGGCCGACTGTACCTGGCGCGACCCATCGTGTCGTCGAATGGGACTTCGCTCACCATGATCCAAAATGGAAACAACCGACGTGTGAATTCATCCCGCCGCCGGGACGTGTCAACAGGCTGGTCGGTCCGATTCCACACCTGAAAGCAATCCGCGTGGTGGAAAACGTGACGAGAGCATCTGTCATGTATACCTTGATTCGCTCCAGTACAGAAGGTTGGCCCAGGTCGACCTCCCACCACGGATGGTCATCGTACTAGCAACCAGCGCACGTGTGAGGAGAGCTCAGACATCAACCGTAGACAGCGAACGCATTCTTTCCCACCTACCTGGGTGTGGATGCATGTGTGCAGCGGGCCACTTCGATTGCCATCCACGGCCAATGCTGCGTCCTGCTCGTTGTACACACTACTCTGTCGCGCGCGCTTTCGAATCGCCAAATTGTACGGCGCGACGTGGAATGCGCGCACGAGCTCCGGTTCATCGATCACTCGTCTCTAATCATGCGCTCAAGTGCCGACACCGGCGGACGCAAGCAACTCACGCCCGCGGCATGGCCGGTGCATTCCTGTACATTTTGCCCCCACGTGAACAATTCTCCCGCCAGAGTCGCAGCTGCAGTGTGGCCGAAACCACAGCTCACTTCGCGAACGGGCGTTCCCCGAAGCTTGGCAACAAGGGACCACGTGGGGGTGTGCTGCAACAGAGGCCCCGAGCTACCGCACACGTACACATCACCTCCTAGACATTCGCCGATAAGCAGCAGACCAACAGGGCCATGGAACCCACCCGAGAGTGTCTCGACATTCCCATCCACATCCGATCGTATTTCAGTACACAGCGCCGAATGCGAATTCCCACACGAAACCTACTCACACCAGGTGAGGCATCGCTCCCTTCAACAGTGGCAAACACTACTTGGGCCACCGACACCCGCGATAACGACGCGACGAACGTCGGCACGGCGACCATGTCCTGCACTTGTTCTCCAAGTCCCAACCTGCCACCATTGGCACAGCCCCACACGAAGAGCTCCCCGTCCGTGCTCACTGCCCCAGTGTGCGCCCGTCCGCACGACACTTGACTGCATGCGCATGTCAACGAAATTTCATCCCTGTTGCGACTTACCGAAGCCGCTTGCGACCAGGGAACCGGACTCGCATCGGATGCATTGCAAACTGCTCAAACTTGTCGTCCAGCAAACCAACGCCGAGCTTGCCTGTGGACGCAGACCCCCACGTGTATACTTGGCCGTCGGCACTCAACGCCGCGCTGTGGTCGAACGCGCACGCGACGTCTTGCACAAACACGGACTGGCCTCACGTTTACAAACGCATGGACAGGAAACGTTCCAGGAGTACCTTCAACTCCATGACTCGACTGGGGTGGTCCGAATCGGCATTCATCATGCCTTCCAACGACTTTCCATGCCCCAAACGACCGCTGATCCCGACGCCCCACGAGTACAACGACCTATTGCACGAGTTACATCGAACCAGTCGACGCCACTGCTCGGTGAAGTCGTGCCCGTTGTGTGTCACGGCGCAAGCAAACGACTCGCCGGCGGCAATTTTCCAAACCGCCTAGGATATCCTTCCAAGAATCGATCCTTTCACGAACGGATGCGTACCGACGATCCTCGAGGTGGATGCAGCGGAGGCCCTCTACAAACAATGCATGAAGTCATGTATTCGATAGCAGCTCCACCTCGCCGTGACGCCATTCAACTCCATCACGGTGGACGTGCTTCGAGGAGTGTACTCGGGACACATATCTTCTAGCTGGACGCGTTTCCGTTCGATGGAGGCATCGTATGTCTCCTCCTATACCACAAGACTCGTCTGTGACCATCCGTGTCACGATGCAACGGCACCTTCAATTTTGCTTCGTGTTCCTTGGCTTGAGCTGCCGTTGCCGCTTTTTCCGCTTCCCGCCGCTCGAGCTCACGTTTCAACGGCTGGTACTACGACAAGGTCTGTGTCCCGGCACCTCGATCGCCTCGACTTACCGAGTCGAGTAAAATTGCCTTCTCTGGAATCTGCGCCGGACGTGTCAACGACAGCCCAGTGGAGTTGTTTACATGAGTCGGCACGAACCTCTTCAACCTTTTTGGTTTTCTTTGCATGCAGCTCTTCCGTGTCCTACACCGGCTTGTGAGCGCACGCGGCGACTGAAGCGAACAATCCCACTTGGATGAAAAAGTCCATTTGCTTGATGCCTCTTCGTGCCTCCTCCGTGCACATTTCGGATTCAATCAACAAACAATCGCCGAGAAGTTCAATCAAGTCTTGCTTTGTTGCTCGGTCCAGGTGGAAACCGCGGGCCTGTCCGAAAGCGGTGGCGGTAGGCATGACGTAATGGCATGACATGACGTGTACCAGGATGGACTTGTGTACTCGGTTGTAGTCGACTTTGGGCAGCAACACTTGCTGCATGTAGATAATGCGAGTTGAAAAACTCGGCGGCGGGTCCCACTTGTCGTAGTACAGCACCACGCGCTTGTGCCTGTCTATGCCCTCAGACAAGAAGTCGCCACTTCGAGCCACGATACGACTTACTTTTCATATTGCTCGTCTTCGTGGAGGTCGCGCAAGCGCTTTTCCTCGAGTTTCCGCTTTTGCGCTTCGACTTCAAGTGCCACGGCATCCGCCGCCTGCACCAGACCCCATTAGACAAAGCTGCGGCTTTCAGAGTAGTACAAATCTTGGGGCGGCCATCTTGATCAACTCGGATCGACTCGTGAGCATTCTCATGCGCTCCACTTCTTTCCGCGTAGCCTCGGCCTCGTTGTCGATGGATTTCACTGCAACGTCGACGTCCTCGTCCTCATCGTGTTCGAGCCCTTTCCACCACTTGTTTTGACCACCTGCATCGAGTCGCCGTGGGTCTTAGCCAAGGTCAACGTGGCTGGCCCATCGTACCCCAGCAGTAAATTTGTCCAGGGGCCGTCACGGCGTACGCAATGTTGTCTGATATAGCGGCCTGCCACTCATGTGAACTCCTTGGCCTGGGGCACTCGAATCCAATGCAATCCTACTTGGACAACTTGGCGACCCCACAGCCATCCCGTGTTGGTCATGGGGTGAACGTCCTTGAATCGCAAACTGCGCACAAACGCTCGATCTTCAAGGAACTTTTGGTTCAGCACTTCGGAAAGGTCTTCGTTGGTTTCTCGGCTAGTTGCGTCCTCCGTCTTGACCGAAGCTCGTTCCTTTGGTTTGGCGCGCCACGCCTGCCTCGCCAACTTGGGCGGACTCACGTGGTTGATGTCGTACGTCACGTTTTCGGATCGACGCCGCATAAACGGGAGTTTGTTTTCACCGACGGCAGAAGCAGCGGCAGCCGTCGCCGCTGCCTTTGCCTCGGCCAACTTTTCCTTTCGTCTCTGAATGTAATCCGGCGTCAAGGCACGTGTTTTCACCAGCGGATAGTTCGATGGAGTAGCAGCAGGCGCTTGATGGATCGTCGGTGGCTTCAGCTTCAAGTCAGGTGGAACGTACGTTGGTACAACACGCGCCTGCCTGCACAGACGCCATGTGAAGCCCGTCTTTCGCAGATGTCGTTGTCACCGCCGTACCAAATTTCGCTCACGTGAGTGTAGCCATCATAGAGCAGCGCATCACGCGCCGCGGGCTCGCTATTGAATTGTCCTGCCCCATTGCCATAAATTGGAATGCACAGTGAGTTCCAGCTGCTGTACCATGCTGTCCTGGACCAAGGACATAAACTTGCCCGGCGGCATCCAATGCCGCGGCCAATTCGTCCTGTGCCCGCAGTGTAGCCTTGTCCGCTAGGCTTTTGCGGCGAATTTTCTCCAGTTGCCACTCGTGGAACCATTTGGCCTCGGCCATCGCTTCCTCTTCCCGTCGCTCTTCGTCGTCGAGATGCTTGGCGAGGATTTGCATCAGCGTCTTGCGCGTCGCGTACTTGGGGACATCGACGCCCCGCGATGCCAGTTCGTGCTTGACGTCGGCGCATTCAAGCCACATCGCCCGGAATTCCGAGTACTAGTCCACCAGCACAGATACATTCCAGGGGTTGACGACGAGATCGTACCTCAATGAACCCGCTCTTGTCCGTGTCATACTTTTGGAAGAGGCGCTCTTGCTTGGCGTCGGTCACGCGGAATCCAAAGTACTCGAGGGCGTCGGCAAATTCGAGCTCGTCGAGCTGTCCCGACCCATTCGAATCAAACAAGTGAAACGTGTCTTTTGGAGTCAGCAGCGATGACGGAGAGAACCTGGTCGGAGGAGTAAGGGCGCCCGTATTTGCAAACGACATGACAGAAGTGTACCCCAGCGAGTTACCCGTCGTTGGGTCCACGGTGAACATGGCCATCTTGAACTCTTCCAGGTCGATTTCCCCACTACCGTCTTTATCGCATGTGTCGAAGATACGAATGGCCTTTGCATCACTCAACTTGATGCCGAGTTGCGGCAACTGCATCAATTGCACGCGGATCAGCGACGCCATCAAGCGATCAGCATACTGGCGCACTTACCATCTTGATGAACTCGTCGGTTGAAATCATTCCGGAATGATCTTCGTCAAATTTGACGAACATTTCCTCTGGAGTCATCTACACTGTCGTGGTGGCACCATGTCTACCAAGTGCGGCTCCACAGTACCTTGGACAAGAGAGCTTCCACGTTACGCGATTGATGCACTTCATCATCGTCGGACTCGTCATCGCGATCGTATCTCTCGATCGCTGCGTCATCGTCGCTCGCGTCGCTGTCTTCGCCAAATAGATCCATGTCATTGAACGCCGCATTGCCCACGAGCTTCCTCGTTGCCGATGTCTCCGCGCCAGGGGTCTGACCAGTGTTCGAGAACGCAGCGGGCGACGAAGCCTGGGGACCATCCGCATGAACTTGCTGGGCAACTTTACGAGGTGATTTGCAACCTTTGAAGAGTCCCATGACGGCCGTTGTCGCAGTGGCCTCGCATCAACCTGTCGGTTTCAACTCACGAAAAAAACCCGGCCGCGACGGGACCGAACCGGTGACCTTCAGTGTGTGCTGTTTGGACGAAATATATCTGTTCTTTCCTAAAGTCAATAGAAATAAATTCAACTAAACAAGCATTCAAGACCACTTGGCTGCACGACACAACGCGCACGCAATTCAAAGATGCGCACTGACATCGTCATCTTGTCGTTGAGCTTGTCGTGAGCCGCCGACCAAGCTTCCTTCTTGTAGCCACTGTCGGCCTTCTTTCTCAGCACTGTTGAGTGTTGAACGAGCTCAAACCTCGTGATGTCCATGTCATCGGTCCAAATACCCATGTCTTGAAGTCGGTGGGTCGAAGCAAAATTTCGGGAATTGCGCAGGAGAGTTCTCTTGAAGAAGAGGAGGATGAGTTGCGCTTCCATAAATTCTATTCCATGCCAAAGTGTTATGATACGGCCGCCTGGTGTGGATGCCACGAAATTTTGTAACACGTCAAAATCTTAACAGAACATCCTAAGTACGGGCATTTCAATATTTCGTATAAAGAGTCGTCTGGTTGCCATCGGATGACTCAAATAAAAACGTGAACACTGCGGCAATTTCGTTTACGCTTGCGTGTACAAGCCGTCATTGTTTCCTTGCTCGCACTTGAACCTGGGACGACTGATGGCGTCGTTGTCACTAGTTTGCCATTGAAAGCATATCAGCTAATATGTTCAGTACAATATTTCGTGTTTGCATATATTGTCCGAATAATTTGAACGGCACGTCGAAGCAACGGGCGAAGTTCAACGTCACGCCGCAGCAGCATGCCGGCGCTCGCGTGGATCCTTCTTGCCTTCACTTCCTTCCTCTTCCAAGCATGTGCATCCAGCGACGCGATTGAGAAATTGGGGGACGATATATTCACTGCTACGATCCGCGAATCTGGCTCCGTGTGGCTCATTGACTTTTACGCTGTCAGTTGAAACTCGCCCCTCCACCGAATGACTTCACCGCGATTTGATGTGTAGCCATGGTGCTCGGCATGCATTCAATTGGAGCCACTCTTGGAAGTGGCAGCAGTGGAAGCCAAGGGCGTCCTGCGCGTGGGTTCGTGTTGCATTTCCTATTTCGACCCACCTCGGCAGGCCAGGTTCTCAAAGTCGACTTGTAGGCAAGGTGAATGTGGACGCCAACCCAGTTCTGCAAGCACAGTATGAGATCGTACGATACCCGACTCTCATGTACGGTCGATGGAACTCCCGGCTGAACCAAGTCGACCTCCAACTGTACCCTGGAGACCGCACGGTGGACTCGATTGTCAAATTTGGAAAGCGTTTGGCTGGCGCAGTCGTCAGCAACGTCACGACTGAAGCCGAGTGGGATCGATATTTGTCCGTGGATGGCTCGATGCTCTTCTTGGGCTTGCAGGTACTGCGGCTGACGATCGATTTTCATGCGACGATGCTGGCAGCGTCTTGATGCGAACGCTGCTTTCATGCATGCAGAGCGATGACACGAAAGGTGATCGAGTGGCCGTCGAGCTCCAAGCTCAGTACCAGCATGAAGCGTCGCAGTATCACAAGCATCATGTATGGATGGACTTGCTCATGAAATGGATAGCTCACTCTTGTGCAGATCTTTGTGACCAGCACGAGTCCAGCCATTTTGGCCAAATTTTCCAGGTACGTCCGTCGTCGATTCCAACACCGTGGCGACCACCAGATTTGGCTAGACCGGTGCCGTTCATTGCTCGCGTGGACGTGAACCAAGTGGAACCTTACTATTATGACGGAGAGCTCGGCCTTCCGACGGTGTCCTGGTGCTCAAACGACACCAAATGCTAAGACAAGGGTGGTTGTAGTGGGTTGAGAAGAATCGATACCCGAGCTACACTTCCTTTGAAGCATCGAACATGAAGCATATTGGGTGGTTCCGCATCCTTGTCATTGGGTGCTACGTCCCTGATCAACATGACGCGTTCGAAGCAGCCATGAAGAAGCTCGCATCCTACTCGGACTCGCCGCTAAGTCGCGCTGACCGAGACAAGTTCGCATTTGGATGGCTGGACAGCGACAAGTACGTCAACTACATCTCCAAGTTCTTCGTCTACCCAGAGCAAGTGCCGACGCTGTTTGTGTGGAATCGCCAGGTACGTCGTCGCCCCACAGTAGATGGAAATCTCACAATCCAATCATCAATAGGACCAAGTCTTTTACAACTACGACGGCCGGGCCGACGACGTCGACGCGATGGCAGAGTTCTTTATCAACATTTTGACCGGCAAAGAGCGCGCGATCGCCCAAGGCAACTACTTTCTCAAGATCTATCGCTTCATGGTGCGCGGGTATCCGTGGTCGCTCCTCTGGCTTTTTCCTATGGGCTTCATTGCGTTCTTCCTGATCGTTGGGTGTGCCGCTGTGTGGACGCATGACTCGGCTGCAGAGAAACGAGCGCTGACCAAGTCCCAAGAACCTGCCATACGTGCTGCACAACCTCCCATCGACGCAAAAAAGAGCGAGTAATGAAATCGCTTCTTTGATCTAATGGAAGTCGACGCCACTCCACTTGGCAATTCCAGGCGCTTCAAAAGCATGGACACGTGTACCTCGACTCCCTTGACTTGTAGCGTCTGAGCGGGACGGCGAAGCAAGCCCTCGACCTTGTTCCAATAAATCACTCTTGACATTGTTTGGAATAAAATCTATCTACCACGCAACATCCACCGCCTTTCCGGCCGACGCGCAGTTTTGAGAAGATGTGCCACACGCCACTGCATCGTCGTCGGCTTCAGCATCTTCGACGGCGACTCGGAACAGGCGGTTGCCAAATTTCTTGTAGAGCGGAATGATTCCACCTCCGTTGAGCAGCTTTTCTTCAAACAGCGACATTTTAAAGCGAAAGGTTTCGCCCGCGACGTGGATCGTCCGGCCGCGCATTTCAATGCGAATCGAGGCGTTGGGTTGGGCCAGTTCATAGAACCGGTCGTCCGTGATGCAGATTCCCACCAACGCAAACATTTGGACGTTGCGAGAAAAGATATACCCAAACGACTTGGCAATGACGGCCTTGACCCCCGCACCTTTCAGGCACGTCACGGCTTGTTCTCGCGACGACCCACAGCCAAATCCATGCCCCGCTACTACAATCGACTGGCCTTGTTTGACTTTGTCCCTGTCAACCCCCCACCATGAGCAACTCATTCGTGATAGAGAAACCACGACATATGATGTGTTCGTACCGGAAGTCGGGGTTTGTGTGCAAAAAGGCGACTTTGCCGAGCGCTTCGACGTCGTTCTCACACAAAAACTCGCCTGGCAAGATCGCGTCTGTGTCGATGTTGTCGCCAAATACTTGGGCGCGGCCTTCAAGTACCCCCGTAGCTGGTTCAGGGGTCGAACCAGTGGCGTCAACGGTGGCCGATTTGGTCACGGGTTCTGGCAGCTCTGGTGCTGGGACCGCAATCGTGATCGGCGGCAAGTTGGTCTTGACCGGCAAGTACGATTGCAATCGCTCAGGCGATATCAACTTAAGGAAAGGCGTAGGGTCCGTGATTGCCATGCCGAAGCTCGACGCCGCCACCGTCACAGCCGACGCGAGATGGCCAATGCTGCCTTTGCCCATGCGGTTGCGGTAATTTCGGTTCTGACTCGTGAGCCACACTTGCCCTTCCTTGGCTACGTCGGCAGCTATACCGAGACAGAAACTGCAGCCCGGCGCACCAACGGTAAAGCCCGCGCGCTCGTAAAACTCCAGCAGACCTTCCGCGCGCAAGTGATCGATGATCACTTGGCTGCCAGGGGTCACACGACGCTCGCCGTGGCCAACAGGTCTCATACCTTGCTTCAGGCACTGCTCCAGCACGAGCGCGCCAAGAATCAAGTCTTCCTCGGCGGTTGTGCACGCACCGATGAAACATCCGTGTAGCGGCATGTTCAAGACAGCGCTGACAGGTTGAACGTTGTCTGGGGACGGAAAGAGCGCGATTTGTGGCTCCAAGTTGGCCAGATCGATCTGGAACACTTCGGCATACGCGGCGTCCGGGTCGGCACGGAAATAGAGCGCATCTTGGTTGTGTGACTCGCGGCCAGCAATGTACGCTTGGGTGCGTTCGTCTGCAGGAAAGATGCCTGCAATACCACCGAATTCCGCCGTCATGTTTGCGATGGCGAAGCGGGCATCGCAGGAAAGCGGCGCGATGTTGCCGGACCATTCGACACAGCGGCCAATCGCGACAGTGTTGCACTTGAGCTGACCCAGCGTGTACAGCATGATGTCCTTGCCACCCAACCCGAAAGGTGGTGCGTTGACAAATTCGATCTTCACAGTTTCAGGCACTTGGATCCACGTTTCTCCGGTCACGAGAGGCATCACGACGTCGGCGGCGCCGAGGCCGATGGCGAACGCACCAAGCCCTCCCGTGGAACAACTGTGGCTGTCCGCCCCCACAACCACTTGGCCAGGCTGCGCGCGTTGGCGGTAAAATTCCGTGTGAAGAATCGTGGTGTTGGGCTTCTGGAAATTTGTTAACTTGGCTTCCGCAGCAAAATTCGTCGACGCTTGAATCATCATTTGTTGGCGGGGCAAGTGATTCACGCGGGGGTCGACAGTATGGTCGATGGCGAGCCAGAAGCGGTCGTTGCGCCATATGCGAGGTCGACCCATGTCCTAGTCAAAGCCATGAGATCGAGAGAAGCTCGAGGATTGCATACCGAGTACGTCTTGTCCATGGATTTCCACGTTATTTCGCATGCAAGGGTCCATTGGGTCTTCACACAGATCATTTGGCCCGGTTCGACGTACGGGTGCTTCAAGCCCACCGCGGAGTGCGTGAGGATCTTCTCGGGCAGCGTCATCGGCCGCCGCTTCGTCGCGGAGGCAGCACCGGAGTTCGTCTCGGAAGCGCTGGACATCTTGAGGAAAATCCAAAAATGACCTTTGCTGGATGACAGCTCCAAACTTAGTTTGCGCAATTTACAACCTACTCGAAATAGTGTGGAATTCATACAAACTTCACATTTAAAAGAGGATTGCGCAATTGCGGGTAGGGCACAGGAAATAGTGTGATCGGTGCAGCGGAAAATTCCCTGGGGTAACTGCCAGCTTGAAACGCCTGACCAACTCGAAGGCCAACGACGGCTTCACCATGGTGAAAGCTTCGCATGCGCATGGAGACAGCAGCAGTACGATGCAAGCCATGCGGTCGGCGATAAAAGCGGCAGCCACATATAGTGTGGACTCTCATGCAGGCAAAGGCGCCACTCACAACGACGGCGCAACCCAACCACAACCCATTCGCGTCACACCAGCGTCCGGTGTGGGCTTCAACACAAACCTGCGTGACATGCTCTTGTATGTGAATAAGAACGAAGTGATCTACGCGATTGGGAAGTACGTCGCCCTGCAGAACATCCACAGCCAGAAAACGTCGTTCTTTGAACCGCCGGCGTCGAAAGACTCCGACTCGGCGTCCATTCGCCTTGGCGACATTTGTGCCTTGGCGATCACGGCAAAACGAAGCTACGTGGCCGTTGCACGCAGCGCCCACTCGAGTCTACGGCGCACTGAGAGCACTATCTCGATGTATTGCCTCAAAACTGCCAAGGAGGTGCGCCAAACTCGCCACTCGTGATGCGTCAAGCGACGTGCCCCTAGGACACTGCAGGTGACCCGACGCGATGGTCCCGCCTTACGCCCATTCGCACGCTCACGTACGCCACGCACAGCTTCACATCGGTCGCATTTTCCCACGACAGCAAGTACATTGTTGCGCAATCCACCACGTCCGAGTGGGTGTTTGCATTGTGGGATTGGACCCGCGCTCGCCAAGTGGCTCTCACTGAGGCTCACTCGAAAGTATTCACATCTTGTTTCGCCCATGGAAATACAATCCCTTGTGTATAGGTGACGCGCATTTGCTTCAATCCGATTGACGTGGCCCAAATATCAACGTCGGGCGGCGTCCACTTGCGGTTGTGGCGCCTCACGGAGCCGACGTGCCGCCCCTTTGCGACGTTCAATTCAGCCAACTCTGCCGTTCGATATGTCGACCACACGTGGGTTGGGGCGACAGACGGAATCGTGGCCGTCCTCGACAACGGCGACGTCCAGTACTTTCGCAATGGCGAGCTTGTACGCACGATACCATCGCTGCACCACGGACACATTTTGCAATGCGTGCAGTCTTTCAGGACCAGGTGGTTGCCAAACACGTTTGCTGGCGCTGCGTTAACGTTTGTGTAGTGTTGTCGTAGGGGGCGACTGCGGTTGGTTGTCGGTGCTCGAAGTCGACTCTTTCAACGGCGCAGACATTCACTTGGTCAAACGCATGCGGCTCGATTCCAAGTACATTGCCATGCAGCTGGTCAGAAAAGTCAAATCACGCAATCTAGAGAGGCGGTGCTGGGTTTGTCGATGGATGCGGCTGGTGCGGGCTTCATGTGTGCTACACCAAGCTACTACGGCGCGTACGACCTCTCCAACTTGTGTCTTCTTCGCGAAGACGACGAGGTACGTCGATGCGGTCATGGCGATGTCGTTGAGCTCATCCGAATCGACTGTGTGAGTTAGTTTGTCTCGTTAATGACGTTCACACCCCTTCCTCGCCTTGGTTCGGTCACGACCATGGCAACGTCCAGTCGAAAGCACGTGGTGGCGGTCACAGGAAAGCGCGCGACGGGCGCCACACTGGCTTGCATCTATGGTCAGAGCGACACCCGGGGCGTCCTGCACCATGCGTTTGTGCATGTCGTCCCCAATTGCATGGATTTTCACCCGTCTGGATTTGAAATGGTGATCAGCTTCAGGTACACCCGTGTGTCCCAGCCAGACCTTGACCACGTGACGTCGATGCAGCGCCCAAATCCACATTTACCACGTTCTCTACGATTCCCTCCGTCTTGCATTCGAAGTCGACATCAAACACGCAACAACTGTCGCGTACAGCTGCGGCGGCAACTACTTCGTCGCGCTCGTCGATGACAAAAGCGTCTACGTCTATCGGAACTTTGGTGGTCTCGAGCCAGCTCTCGTCGCGGTCTGCGCTGGTACGCATTCTGGTTTCGATAACGCCGAAAGCACGACGATGTAGGAAGGACAATGGTGATTCGTGTGCGGTAGGTCGTGAGGCCAACGTGGTGTGCCTTCGATGGGGCCTCGACGACGGTCGGTTCTACACGTCGGACGACTGCGGTGCGCTCTTGGAATGGGGGTTGGGCGCGGATGGATCCTTTTCTGCCACTCAAGCGACGTCGTCCGGCCAGAAATCATGTCTGTTTGACCGTGCAACTGTGTTTTCTGCTCTCGCCTTGTCGCGAAACCCCGTCACGAGTTGTCCCATCATTGCAGCCAGCTGCGTTTCGGATACGGACGTGTCGGTCGTCGTCGTGTGGCGCGACGGCTGCCTGAACTCGACACCACTCGAATCAATGGAAATTCAAGCGAGGATCACTGTCCTCGAGTTCGGTCCGGCCTGCGTCGTGTGCGCCGGCACGGCCAACGGCAGCGTCGTTGTGTTTTCGTGGTATGGATTGTAGCAACGTGTCTACTTGGCCTCAACACGCCCTGCTGGCTAGGGAATCGACGGGAGGACCGAGCACGTTATCCGCCTCACCAATCTGGTTTGATCTGAGCATGGCGTCGATATTATCGGTGCGAAGCTGCATGAACGAGCGTGTGCTCTTGGTTGCGAGCGTGGATGGCACGATGATGTCATGCCATGTCGACGTCCATGCGCCAAGTCCGCGATTTTTGGCGGGTCCAGAAACGCTACCAGGTCACACCAAGACATTGCACATGCTTCAAGCCGCCCCAGAGACGCAGTTTTCGACGGCACTGGTCACGGACGAGCTGTGCTTGGTATGTTGGCGAACCTACTTGCCAGATGTCGTCGCCTCACTGCTGTGGGTAGGTCGATCGAGCGAGCGTGGTTGAGCGAAGCCTTCGCATTACGGATTTAGAGACCGAGAAGGAGCAGCTCAAGATGGAAAAGGACATCACGGCCAAGCTGAATGCGGACCAAATGAACTTGCTCGACCGGGAGCGGCAGACCGAACTGCGACTGGCGAAATCGTCGTGGGAAACCAAAATGAAAGCGCTGGAGACGGACATGCACACCAAGGCACACGACGCGCACACGGCGATGCTCGAGATGAAGTGTGAGCACGACAAGAGTCTGCAAACGATGCAAAGCATCTTTGCGACCAAGCTGAGTGCCATGACTGACGTGTGTCAGCAACTGGAACGGCAAGTTGTCACGGAGAGGCAGCGCGTGGACGACATTCGATTCGGTGGGGAAGAGAAGGTAATGGTGTTGACAAAGGAATGGGACGCCAAGTTGGCCGCCACCGTGGCGACCTATGAAGCGAAACTCGCGACGCTAGCTCAGCAACTGGAAGCGAAACAGAATGCGTTCGACGAGCTCCTGTCGCAGCAAAATGACGACTCACTCATTCACTTAAGCGCCATGCAGGCTGCCGTCGATCAAGGCAAAGGTAGGGAGCGTGCACCCGACATTCGTGTGGTGTTTGGAATCGAATCGTTTCGTTGTGATACATTAATGAAATTTTTGCGCAGCGGCCCAAGCCCAACACCAAGAAGAGACCAAGTCGACGATTTCGAGCTTGCAGCAGCAGTTGCGCATGATGCTGAACGCATTGGCAACGAAAGACGAGCGCATCAAGCAAGCCACGCTAGAAGCAAATCGGTTGCATTTGGTGGTGGACGCCCTCAACAATGAGCTCTCTGTCGAGCGCAAGACCACGGCAAAAGCAGTCGCGGATGGTGCCGCGCTCGAGGCCCGCGTCGCCGATCAAGCGCGGCAAATCCAAGGGCTCGAAGAGATGAACAACGCAAGATTGTGCAAACTGAAAACGATGCAAGCTACGATATCGAACAAGGAGCTCGACATCCAACACATGCGTACGTTTGTGGAAGAGCTGCATGCGGAGAACAGCGCGGTCGTAGAAGACGCCAACGAAATGGACGAGGCGCACGGGCAGATGAAGCGCAAAGTGTCATTCTTTGAGCGGTCCGTAGCTGACTTGAAGCGCCAGGTCGCGGAGGCAAAAGCAGTGACGACTGCTTTCTGTCGCGATCTCGGCATCTTGATTGAACGCGAACAGGAAGGCACGCGAGTCACCATCGACGACATCGTCAAGATGTACCACAAGTACGACGTTCGCAGTGGGAGCCAACGCAATCGGGTCGTGCAGAGGGAAATGGCATCCGACGAGGTTATCATCCAAGAGTTGACGCGGCAAAACAAGTGCGGGGAAGACCAGCAGCGAAAGCTACGCACGCGCCTTGATGCAATGACCCATGAAAGGCAAAAGCTTGTGTCCGTCTTCTCAACCGACAACACAAAGCTCCTGCAAGAACTCAATGCAATGGCGAAACGAAACCACGAGCTGCAACTTCGAAATGGCGTTCTCGAGGCCGAAGCCAAGCGACATCGCTCGGGACGGGGGACCATGAAGGCATCCCAGAGCACACCAGAGCTCGAAACGCCCCCCGAAAATAACACCGACAGCTCAAACCAAGCCGACTCGGCAACAACCATCGTGGTGACCACTGACCACGAACCACGCATATACATCCCTTGTGGTGTCAATGTGGGAGCGGTCCCTCGAGCCAGCAAAGACCTGACCCCGCTCAAGCACCTCCAACGACCGCAGAGTGGCATACCAAAAGTTCCCAAACGCCAAACCAGTTCGCCATCCCAACCTCCAAAGAAATCCAAGCCCCGGCCGCAGTCAGCTCACCCGACCAAGTCATAGCACGATAAAACGAATGAGTTCGGGTTGGAAGACAGGTCCTACGATAGGAGCATTTTCAACGCCAAGTCCTTCTTGACACACACCTTGTCCGCTTTCTTCCCGCTTGGCTTGCCGCTGTCCGGCACATGTACCTGAACGCCTCTGCGGACACGGGTTTGATACACTCCGGACATTTGTTGGCGTTTTTCGAGAGAACAACGATCGACGAGCGCCGTGCGGGTTCCAACTTTGTGATGAGTCCCGCCTCCGTAAGCTGGTGACGTTGCATCACTGCATTCGTTGTTCTTGGGGTCGTCGTCGTCGTCGTCGTGGGACGCAGAGAAGCGCACCTTGTCGAGCTTTGAATTCAACGACAAAATCTCGCGGCGCAGCTGCTCTTCTTCCATCGATGCCGACAGGACGGTGATTGCGCGACACTACGACCAAGCGCAGACAGGGCGATAAAATGGATTCGACCGAACGGTGTCCCCTACCGTGCCGAGCGTTGCCTTGGGCTTTGCTACAGGCTGCGGTGGAGCGACAACTTCGATAGGCGATGGCTTAGCTTGATCAAAGATGTTGCACTTGGGGTCGCGAACTTGTTTTGCAGCTGGTTTGGATGTTTGATGAGCTGCAATAGGATATTTTGGCTGGCATTCACTGGCAACGACGGCAGGTCGAGAAGGCGGGGGCACTTTTTCAATCGGCGCTTCGAGTCGCGGAGCCATGGCGTTCGCGATAGGTTTTACCTCTCCACCGTGGAGTTTGGTGGATTTCAAGGCTTTCTCTTCAGGTTGTCTAGGGTGCAATGGGTGGTGGTTCGATGCGACTGTGGATGGATCAAGTTGATTCTTTTGAATAGGTGGAGCAGGGAGCTCGTTCTTTGTCTGGGCGCGCTCGTCGGCGACCTTCGCCTTGAATTGGCTGGGTGCAGGCATCTCACGACGCTTTGGCGCGCTGATGTTTGTCGTGGGCTGCGGATGGGTCGAAAAAGGAGGGGGTGATTTGACTGGAGGTTTCACCGTTGGTTTTGGCTTTGGCGATACAACGATCGAAAACTCCAAGCTGTCCACAAGCTTATCCTCGTCGTCGTCAGAGTTGGTATCGCTCGATGCTACGCTCCATGCATCGCAATCTTGTGTGTGTTGGTCACCGGGTCGCACGTCAGCATTGTTGGCATTCAACGTGTGGACCTTTGGAGCCTTCATGGGGGCTGTTGCCGCGGATGCTCCGGCGCGAAACCTGCACATAGCAGTCGCGTAAGTTGAATGGTATGCCAAACGGGACTTGGTACTTTGTTTGGTTGCTTGGGGCCATTGTATTGTCTTGACTTCGTAACGGAGGCGACTTCTTTGTTGGCCATAGATCAGTCTCTTCCGGTACTTCGTCGTATGGCACGAAGTGTGGCTGCACGGCGGCGTTTGACTGCTTTTTGTCTTTGATAGCGGCAGCTCTATCCGACGCAGGACGCGACGTGGTCTCTGCTTGTGGGTCGAGGCTGTGGATTTGTGATGGTGGGAGCTTTCTACAGCAATTATGGGCATTTTCGGAAATCAAACATGCTCATAGGACGCACTCGCGGCGCAGCTTGCTCTCGCGACGAATCGCTTTCTCTCGTTCCCACGCAGGCAGCCTGGACGAGCCCTCAATCGGCATGGCGCACAGAATACCGTGATGTCTCGAGCCGTTTCGTCGAATCCGATTTGTAACCTCAGTTAATTTGACGTATAGTTGGGTTATTATGAAATATCAATTCGAACTTCGATCTCAGTCCGAGGGTGATCTTCCATCCGCCCGACGTTCGAGAGATGTCGGCCATCAAGGCTGGCGCATCCGCCGCGCTTTCCACGCGCGGGAAGCGGGCGTTGCAGCCAGCTCTGTCGTACTTTCAGCTTGCCCTGGATGCCCTCGCCAATGAAGCGACAGATGACAACTTGGACGGATACGTATCGGTGGCGATCTCGGAGAATCGGATCCTCGACGCCAACAAGGTATGCACACGCCGACCTGTTTCTTCGCCGACTTGCACCCAACGTCGTCATATAACCATCGCACTCGCAGATGCTCTCGAAATTAAACGAAAGTTGCGCCGCGGCGTCACAGAAATCGGGCTTGGGCTACGATGACTTCACTGGTCGACGCGGTATGAGATCACCCCGTCGTCCCATAAATTCAACACGTCGTCGTTTATTTTGGTAGCCTTTAAGGAGGCATACGCGTCATTCATCAAGGCCACGCTAGTGAAAGACACCAGCGTGGCGAAAACCATCGACCCGAACCACTTGGCACTATCTAGTGGAGTCGGTTCCCTCTTGGCGCATTTGAGTTCGCTACTACACGACGAAGGTGATGCCGTGCTGCTACCCACGCCCGCCTATGGCGCGCTTTACAACGACTTCTTCGTGTCGTCTGGCATCAAAGTGGTTGACGTGCCCATGACCTCCACGTACGAAATAACTGTCGAGAACCTGGAGGCGGCGTACAACCAATCTGTCGCGGCCGGCCACATGCCCAAGTCTGTTCTTCTTCTCAACCCTGAAAACCCTCTGGGCATTATTCGAAGTGGCCAGACTCTGCGGGCCATTTCGTCCTGGTGCGTCAAGTACAAGCTGCACCTCATCGTGGACGAAATCTACGCCAACTCGATTCACTCGCCGGAACTGAGTTTCCATGCATTTGAATCTGGCGCGACCATCTTCGACACGTCGGAAGCGATGACCCCGCACTTCCACCTACCTCCACACGTGCACATCTTGTGGGGACTGTCCAAGGACTGGGCCGCGTCCGGACTCCGCGTCGGAGTCGTCTACACGGGAAACACAGACTTGCTTCAAGCCCTATCGAACGTCCTCTACTTTTCGGGAGTGCCCAATTACTTGCTTGACGGCCTCGCCCATCTCCTGCGTGACTTACCATGGTCCCTCGATTACATTGCGCAGAACAACCGCGACCTCCGACACTCATACACCCAAGTCGCCGCCGTCCTGACCAAGTTCAACGTGCCGTTCGTGCCAGCGCCGGCAGGGATGTTTGTCTGGGTCGACTTTTCTGCCTTTTTGCGCCACGATACGTGGTATGGCGAGCGGGAATTGACCCAACTCATGTTTGAGAAGTGCAAATTCATCATGACCCCCGGCGAGGCTCAACACGCTCCGACGCCAGGCTTCTATCGGATCTGCTTTGCGTACAACACCCCCGCAGCCGTTGTGCACGGGCTCTCGCGCACGCTCGAGTACTTGACGAGTCAGTCGACCGACTAGAAACACACCCGAGCTTCCCTGCCAAGTCGTTGCATTAGCTTAAAGCACGAACGAGCGCATCGCACGCTTTAGAATGTCGGGCGACTTTGGTGCATTTCAACTGTGGTTTTTTATCCACGATGGTGCTAACTGAGCTGGCCGCAGTTGACAATAGTGGCGTCGTGATCTGGTAGCGGCCGGTCGTTGGAGGGATCGGTTGGAAGGTTTTCGATGCGCCGAACAACGTCCATGCCTTGAATGACTTCGCCAAACACGACGTGTTTTCCGTTCAAGTTGAGGCATTTTTCCTTGGTCGTGATGAAAAACTACACCGCCCAGCGTGAACCCACATGCATGCGTCAATCAAATCTCACGAACCTGGGACCCGTTCGTGTTGGGCCCTTTGTTGGCCATCGACAACAAGCCGACGCGGTCGTGCGGCAAGAACGATTCGTCCTTGAAGTGCCCCCACGCGTTGGCATGGGGCGTGCCGTGGTAGATGCTGCTTCCGCCCGTGCCGTCGCCCTTGGTGATGTCTTCAAGGAGTTTCGTGAGTGCATGGTTCAAAGGAAGTGCATGAGCAACACACCTCCTCCTTGCACCATAAAATTCGTCTTGATGCGGTGGAATTTGGATCCTTTGAAGTGGAGGTGCTTGCCCTACCGCGATGTCGGAAGCGTGAGGCAACGGGGAGCATGGAACTAGCGTTTGGGCGGACCTTTTCACCGGTGCAAAGGCATCGAAAGTTCTCTGCCGTCATTGGCACGATGTCGTGAAGAAGTCGCATCACCACTCGGGACACGGTGTTGTCCATCTCAATGTCAAAGTATACTTTTACGTGGCTTGAGTTCGTTAGCGGTTCCAATATTTGAGGCTTGGGGCAGTATTTCGCCTCGAGCTTTTCAAAGAGAAGGTCCTCGCGCCCTGCATACGACGCGACGAGGTTGCCAACTTCGGCCACCTTGGTCGGATTGTACTGTCGATAGAACGCTTCAACTCTCTCTTGGAACGATGGCTGCGGATTCGCTACGGCCGGAAGAGCAAGTTTGTCCGTTTGTCGTATTGCCGTCAAAGGCGAACCACTGATTGTCGCGGAGACGCGAGTTTGGGCCTTTGGAATGGGAGTTGCAGCGTCGCGTTGCTTCCGCCATGCTTCTCGACTTCGTTCAAAATGCGACGCCACCTTTGCTGTGGCCTCAGGTGGTGTGTGTGTCTTGTCCAATTGCAGCTTCTCCTTCGATGCTTCCCATGCCGCTCGCGAGTACTCAAAGAACGCACCAGACACCCGTCCCGCCGCGCTTGACATGGCTAGTTGCTGAAAATGCGTGACTTTTGACCAATCGAACTGCGTGATTGGAGTTCATTTCACCTGCGCGCACTTGTCATTTGTAGCAATTCTCTCGTATGCACGTATCAACCAGCATCTTTGCGCTTGGGGCAATACGATCGTGTGTGAAGCTTATGCTGATGCATCGTGATTGCTAGTTGAAAACTAATCCAACCCCCGTGGACACGCCCACTGGGCGGGTCTCAATTTATGATATCCCCTTGGGGATTGCCCGACATGCCCGCCCCACACTCGACCCTCGTTGCATCGTCGTTCCCTCGTGCTGCTGGCCATGACAATATCTCACGTCCTCGTGCTCGCTGGGCCACGAGCGCAATGCACTGCGTCATGATCTGGGAATATCCGCGTAGCGAGTTGTCGACAATGGAAGAATATGCAACGACGAGGTCCAGGTTGCGGCTGTGCAGCACACGACGAGAGGCGAGTTGAAATGTGCATCTTGGAATCAATTCATTGCTGCTGGTTTCGATGAAAACGGGTTACTCGACCAAGACCGTCTGAACTTGTTGGGTCAACGTGTCCAACGACACGTCGGCGCTGAGCGTGGTCACAACTTTGTTGAGCTTGACGTACAAGTCGACGAGTGGTAGGTTCTCGGCGTTGAAAGCATCCGTGTGAGCATGGACAACTTCGACATCCCCCACACGGGCTGCGAGCGTCGCGGGAGATGTCGTGAAGTGCAGGAGCTAAAAGAACTCTCAGCGACGGCATCCCAGCGTATCTCGTCACGAAGTACCTGGTCAACGTGTCCAACGTGTTCGGCCAAGGCCATTAGCTGGTCGTGGACATACGGCATGGTATTGCGAATGACCCGTGGGAACCCCGTCAGGACTACTCGTGTCGATATCGGGTGCCGCAACACTTCCAACTTCACGAGGTCCATCGTGATCGCCACATCCACCAAACGCCGCTCGGCCCATGCGGCTTGGATGCGCTTGGCGCGATCGCTCGACGGAAATCGCGTCACATGATGAGCGTGGAGGGTTGGTACGTGAACGTAAACGCAGTTGGAGGACTGGGCGGCCCGCTGGACGGCACTGTGGAACCCACTGGCTTTGTTGCCCACGGCCAAGAACACTCGTGGTCGGAAAAGCGCTTCAAGTTGGGGATACACCCGTCCAATATCAACGTATGTGGTGGCATGGAATGCATGGGGCGACGTTTCCGTAAAGTACCGCGTGAGCTGACTCAATTGCGGCTCCGGTGCGTTCTTCTTGCGGGCTTTTTCTTCTTCGTCCGACGAGTAGAAGTCTTCATCGGTGAGCGCATGGGGCACGGGGAGCACTTTCTTCGTCAGCACCGTAACGTGGTCCATGGCAACGCCAACGCTGTGAAAAGTCTTGGCCTGGCGACAGAGTCAACATGGACGTCAAACGAATGCAATGGGTACCTCCAGAAGCGTGCGAGGAAACCCAATAAAGAGCACTCGATGCAGATTTCGCTGGCGAAGCATTGCGCACACTAACTCGACGAACGAGCGATCGTCGATGGGGTGGCCTGGCTGGGACCACATGGCTTCCACGCTCGATTCGACGTGGGCAAGGGACAGCACGTGCACTCCTTTTGTTTGAAAATGGCGCTCCAGACGCGACAAACTCAAGTCCGACACATCGCCAAGCACCACGGAAGCAGAGAGCTGACTCAAATGCGCTTGAAGATTGGGGCCGAATGGCGACACAACTGGATGCGACAGAGCCAAGTGCGCCAGCAGGTTTTGTTGGAATGGCGTTGTGGGCTCTTGGCTGCGGATGACCAGCGACGGTACCGCGATCTGGTCTGAAAGTGCCTTGACCTATGTCAACGCAGTCAAGAGAGAATGCGTGAAGTTCATCAAACCTGTTCCACCGTGACTGGAAAGTCGTCGAGGATGACGCGGCGATGGCTCGGGTGTAACACAACCTTTTGCAGCACGCGCACTACTAAATCATCCTGTATAGGTTCGTTGGCTTGGACTTGTTCTTGGATGTGCAGGCCATCGACAGAACCCGCAAGTACTTCCGCTCGCAACGCATCCTTGGCGCTCAGCTTGAGAAAACCCCGCGTCCGCGCCACCGACGTGATATCTGCGCCGCCGCCACAGGTACTCCCCTCGTCAATTGACAGCGCGAGCGTTGGTGCCAAAAGCGGCTGCAGGAGAGAGCGCAAGTGGTCGGTGGTCGCTATCCCGTCCACCCAAATGGAAACGAGGTGGCCGACGGCATGACTACGCCATTCGAATTGCGTCATTGGTAGCTTGGCATCCCAAATTGGATGGGGTTCTACATTCACCAACTGCGTGGTGGGACTCGCCCGAACGGTTGTATCCAGCAGCGTCACGAATGCACCAGTCAACGCATGCGAAGGAACGTTCGTGATCACGAAGCGGGGAATCGCAGCCGTCTTAGCAATGGCCTGCGCCAGCAACCGCACGATCATGTCGAACGGCATCATTTCCTTGGTTCGAAACATCGTTGTGTACTCGCCGGCGTGGGTCTTGGTCGCTTCCCGGGCGACTTCTCTCTCCAGCAAAATGGAAAAGTCCAATACATTCCACCGATATTGCAAACCCAACTGGTCCCATTGCTCGGGTCGGATGACTCGGTTCCTGTCGCGGACGAGCAAAAGTCGAGGACAAAACGCGCCGTAAATGTCTGGCAAACAGGCATGCTTCGTGAATGCTTCGTCCAAATGAGGGCGTGGGGAAACGTAGTGCAGCAGACCAAACTAGCACGCTCTCGTTGAGGGCCTTGTCGACAACAGCGTCTGCGTACCCGATGAAAGTAATCGAAGAATTCTCGCTCGCTCGCTGCATGAACAGAAAACGGAAGGTCTGGCGCGAGAGGCGACGCATGGGGATGGGGCGGCTTGTGGTCGCCAACATCGTCGCCGACGACAGTGATCCACGCAAACCGGGCCACGTGCTAATGGCAAGGTAATGGTGTAGGACCTCGTCGACGGAATGTTTTTACGTACTCGTTGGAACGACAGATAAAATGTCAAATCTGGCGGGCACTTGTCCAAAATGATGCGCTTCGACACGCATCGTTTGAACGCCTTGACGATGGCGACCATGCTATCTTCATTTGCATCTTTCTGCGCCACACGAGTGAGTTGTTTGGACAGTGCTATGCAATGAGCTGCAAACCTTGTCGAGAACGACGTCGATATCCATGTAGTGGTAACTAAAATCTTTGGCTATTTTCTTCGCAAGAAGCGTTCGATTCGCGCCATGGCCAAAAAATCCCACGATATACAACGCTGCCAACGATGGAATGCCCAAATCCGCAGGTTTGCCTGGTTGTGGTCGTCGAACGAGGTGGGCGGCGGCCGGAGCTGTCGCCGCTACGACAGACGCGGGCATGGCAAGTGTGGAATAGCTGGTCAAGTACTGTCCCAGCCACGCGATTGCGTCCAGGCCGTCCAATTTCGGGTCCTGCTGGCAGAGGAGCGTAACTCCTCGCGCCAGAGCTTCGTGGAGTGTTTTGTCTGGGCTCAATTGCTTGATTGGCCTTGCTGCTACATCCTTCGTTGAAATGGATGCCTCTAGTGCAACAGCGGGCGGGATATTGAACACAAGTTGGATCTCTCGGTCGGCACTTTGCCGAGAGTCGCTGCCGTGTGTGGCGTTTCTCGTGCCGTCGATGCCATATCGCCCACGAATGGAACTGGGGTACTGTTCCTTGGCGGTGAGCGAATTGGTCGGACCCATACATTTTTGCCACGCATAGATTGCTTTCACGCGAACGAGAATCTGACCGCCACAAGGACTTTTAATAAACTTGCCAAAACCAAAGGATTCATCGTACCATTACAATGACCACGTCGCTGGTCATGTACGCCACCAGCTTCTCGTAGAATGCCTTTCCCTGCAAAAAAACAAGATTGCACAGGTTATTGCCCCAGCTACCGAGCGTCCCAAACCTTGTGTTCGGCGTAGAATTCCATGGCGTCTTCGCGAGTCAACAGTCGTCGACTCTGGCGGTCAATGCGAAACCCGTTGGCCACAATGATGTTTTGTATTTCGTCAGCGTGGTCGTTTGCAGTCTCCGGCTTGATTATCGCCAGCGTGTGCTCGGGCTACGTGACCATGGGAACATGTTCATATGCCCTGACGCGTCCATGATGCCCACCTCGAGCGCCAAAAAGGCAGGAAACCACTTTTGAATGTACTGCGACACTGCCGAGACCGAGTGCAACGGAAAAACGCAGTTGTTGGCCAACGACACACCCAGTCGCGCCCGGATGCTGGTCGGAAAGTATACCTGGGCCTCTGCTGGGTCCGCTGGCCCCAACAACAGCTCGAGCTACCGCCACAAATCAGTGTACAAGACATCTCGATTTGTTCATGCGTACTTTGTCGCCAATGTTCATTCCCTCCAGAAGGAACACCACAGCCTGGCCAGTTGTCATGGCCAACTTGAGCTCAGAGTCGTAGGCAGGGTCGTTGGATTCAGATAAGAGCAGCATCTCTTCGTCCGATTCGATAGACTACGAACATATTCGTGATCGACGGTCTCCGTAGAAGTGAAGCGCCACGAACGTACGATTTTCACTTGGTCCATGATAAAGAAACCTTCCCGCTGCGCCAAACATTTTCTCGGTCAGCACATGAAGAGTGACAGCTACAAGTACCTCAAAATTGACAGACAAAGTATCGACGAAATTTAAAGCTGTGGGTTTAACAATGGCCAGCGCTTGCTGCATCACAGGCGAGGGGGTTGGAAAGAGTAGCATTCGATCGCGCAATGCACACAGCTTGGTTTCGCTGCCGTAAAAGGCATTTCGCACGGGCGTCGAGCCGTACACTCCACGAAGCAGTGGCTTGGGAGATGCCACTGTCTTAGCTTTGGCAGGGTCCATGGGTCCCATCACAGCCTTCCAGTGCTCTGAAAACTGTTAAATCGATCGGATAAATGTGAAGGCCTTCCGTACCGACTGCATTGTCTCTTTCAAGATGCATCGCAATACACGGCCCGCTTACCATAAAGTCCAAGACCGCATCCAATTCAGGGTCTTCCCATGAATGCCTTGCTCATGTTCAGGCTGGTGTTGGCATGCGGAAGCACGTACCTGTAAAGCTGTCGCACCTGATATTTCGACAACTGGAGAGTTCGTCGTTGGGTGATTGTAAATCCTTCTGCCTTGATCCGCTGCATGATTTCGTCGAGAATCGTTCCATTCTTCGTTGTGTCTCCTTCTCCTGGAGCGCGGTACCCCGTCGCGCAGTCGGGCTTGATGAGTGCGATCGTCGTCGACTGCGGAGGTGCCATTGCTCGTTGTCGGCGCGACCTTTCGAAGTGCGGGACAAAACGTCCGGATAAACATTTTCCGGAATGCTCGAAATAAGGTAAAACGCATCGGACGTAAACATTGTTGAGTAGAAACTGAGCCACGAAAGGCGGTCAAGGACGAAGCCACTGGCGGCAGGAGCCACGCACTCTGTGCTAGTAGAGTGCGGCGGATGCGGAGAAGGCGCCATCCCCTCTGCTAGACGAGAGCTGGTAGCTGTGTTGGAGTCCGCGAGAGCCTGCTTCACTGGGACCTAGGTGAGATACGGCAATTGCCCTTAGTCCAGTACAGTTGTCTACCTCATTTGGTGTTGGGGGGAAACGAGCCGCGTCCGAGTCCAATTGGCCGATTGCGATGGCGCGTTCCTGCGCGGACGAAGTTTGGGCGACCCCCGAGAAGCATCGCCGCGCACCATGGGAGTGTCTTGCAACGATTGGAAGCCGTGTGATTGTCTCTGGTGGACGGCAGGGCATGCTTCGCTTCCTCGGCCCCACAGAGTTTGCCAAGGGTGTCTGGGTTGGCGTTGAGTTGGACACTCCTGAAGAAGGCAAGTCGGACGGAGCTGTCAACGGCGTGCGGTACTTCACGTGCAAACCGTTGTGTGGTCTATTTACCAAACCGACGCAGATTCAACCAGAACCACGTCGACATGACGTGACAATCTCACCACCTGCGTTGGCACCGCGACCGAGGCCTCCATCTCCTCAGCACGATCGAAAGCGACGTATCACGCGGCGAAGTCTGCTTCGACGGGACCATGCAGTGACATTTATGTCTGTGTTGTTCAATCCATCGCTCTTGACAACAATCCAGCACTTCCAGCCCGGTCTATTTGCCGACCTCCACCCGCGATTTGCAGAATGGAGGGCGTTCATCCAGACCCACGCCAACTTTCGATACAACGTCGGTGCCCCGTTGCGGTATCAGCGATTCTTTGACAGCCAGATGCACGTCGCTCAAGACTTGTACCTCCCGGAGGTATCGGATCCCCGCTTTGTCCTGCATGTTGCAATCTTCGAAGGCGATGTCCACGTCGTCAAGCGCTGTGCCCGTTGCCAGGAGCACACGATATCCCCGCAAGCTCTGACATGTGCTGCTCGATTCGGCCACTTAGATATTGTACAGTTCCTGCACCAGCTCCAGTCCCACACTCGCCATCCCGCGTTGCGTGGCTCCGATACCACGGCAGTCGACGCTGCTGCCGCACATGGCCATCTTGCAGTTGTGGAGTACTTGCTGCAGCATCAATATTCATGCAGCACCAACGCAATGGACAGTGCCGCGACTCGAGGGCATTTGGATCTTGTGCGGTTCCTCCATGACCACTCGTCCGTTGGATGTACGCATGTTGCCATGGACGGGGCGGCGGAAAACGGTCACCTGGCGATCGTTGCATTTCTGCACTTCCACCGCACCGAGGGCGGCACGATCGACGCGATGGACTTTGCGACGCAAAACGGACACTTGGACGTGGTCCAGTTTCTGCACTTCCACCGTGCAGAAGGATGCTCCGCCGACGCGCTCAACTGGGCCGCCGAAGCAGGCAACTTGGATTTAGTCTACTTTCTGCACGACCATCGTCACGAAGGCGCGACAACAGACGCGATGGACGCGGCGGCCCAGCATGGCTACCTCGACATAGTCGAGTTTTTGCACGAGAATCGCAGCGAAGGATGCACGAGTGCGGCGATGGACCTGGCGGCCGCGAACGGACACATGGACGTCGTCGAGTTTCTCCACGTACGGCGACGAGAAGGTTGCACGGCGGACGCGTTGATTTGGGCCGCACAGAACGGACACTTGGACATGGTTATGTTTCTGTGGGTTCATCGAGGCCAAGAAGTCCGAACACATGCTGATGCCGCCCTCCGCGCCGCCAAGCGGCACGACCACACAACTATATCGCAGTATTTGGAGTTCCAGACACAAACGAGATAGCATAAGATCCCACTCGAGGTGTTAAAGAGTGTCGTTTCGTCGATCTGTGATGAACATGTGGCCAGGAGCGTGCGTGATGGCAAACGCCTGGATGCGAAAGTGTGCATGGGTTTGATCAATAGGAAATCGTACCGGTTTGCTAGCAAGCAAGACGTTCTGAGGGGTCACACCGCACGCCCAAAACACAGGAATCTATGTGGTGGAGAATCAACGACTCGTGCGACACAATGGAGTGGGCATACTTCTCCAGGACGAATGGTAACAGCATCGCCATAATTCGGCTTTGAGATGTCGGCGATGCCAATTGCGTCGGGGTCGCCGATGTGGACAGGACTATCAGCGAAGGTTAGCTCGACATATTTGTAGGTCAAACGACCGACCTTCCGTGAACGTTGGGGTAGCGTGAAGTGATGACGCTGGCCAAAATGGCATCCGCCGGGGAGAATGGGCGCATGCTGACCACCATGTTCCCTAATTCGTTCATGTATGGGGCGACGTGCAGCAGGTGAAACTGGACTTTACCTGAAAACACCCCCGCCGCGTCGCAGGGTATGTTGGTTTGGTACATGGGCACGTTCTTCCCTTCGTCTAGATGGCGGATCCTCAGCCCGGCCTTGGCAAAACTCATGCCGTCAGTTCATCCAAAATTCTGAACACTGTCGGTACATTTTGAAGAGCATCCTCGAAGCTGAACGAGCAACCGAGCAAGAATGTCACCAAGTCCTGCAACGTCATGTTGAATGGGCATAACGAATGCATCGAGTTGTTACGTCGCGCCAGTAGTCCTTGATATCGACAACTTCATCCGTCATGACTCCATGCTTGTACACGCAGTACTTGGGTAGATCGGTGCGGATATCTGAATTCGGGGCAAACCGACGGAGATCCATGCAACCGGGGTCAGAAACTTCCTGCACTTGTCAACGTTCAACGAGTGTGCTGCCCTGTAATGAGGCGCGTACCAAAAGAGGACAAGGCTTCGGATTGCGCTGACAGAACAGCAAGAAGTCAAACGCGAGCTCCTTTGGCAAGATGACCAAGTTGGCCTACAATACGACATGTGGGCTCGAGTCTCGGCAGGTCGGTCATACTTGAGCAAATCCTGGACAAAAACCTGCCGAATTGGACTGAAAGCTGCCATTACGACAAGCAAACCGGAATTGCTCCGGCGTCATGCTCTTGCCTTGGTGTGTCGCGGAGACCGCCGTCGACCCGATGTTGACGCTTTCCATTGTCAGCAGTCAATTGGATTCGCTAACATGTAAGGTAGTAGTCCGATTCATTTTAAATATCGCGCAGTTTCATGTTCACAGTCAATCCAAACTGGCGTTTACAGTTAACAAAAAATGTCAATATTTCAAAATGTCGATGAACTGTTTTAAAATTGGTTTTAAACGTAGAGAGGGATTTCATCCGGATGTCAACGAACACATTATCCGGCATTCCGAGAATCTTCAACATGCTCTTAATTTCGAGGCTGTGGACGAGGGAGGCATGGCGCTGAGCAAGCCGATGGCAACGCTTGCGACCGCGACGTCAGCTGCGGTCGGAGGATGCACTGCATCCGTGGTGCTGTATCCTTTAGATACGTTGAAGACGAGAATGCAGTCCGAATCCAAGAAAGATGCTAACGTCAAGACTTCCCTGGTGACGTGCGATGTCGACAGCATTTTGTCATTCTACAAGGGTGTCCAGTACAAAGCTGCGCAGTCGACGATCTCCAAATTTCTGTACTTCTATGCATACACTGCCATGACAAAGATGCTCCTGACGAAGAACGCGACGTCGCTGTCGACAGGGGCGAACTTGGTGGTTGGGTACTTAGCCGAAATGTTTCACCTACCCGTCTCTTTGCCCCTGGAAGTTGTCATCACTCGTATGCAAACGACGCAGGCAAAAGACTCGAAGAAAGCAAGTCTTTTCCAGCAATTACAAGCGATCTGGGACGAAAACGGGGGCACGTGGACAGCATTTTACAAAGGGTTTTCGGCGTACTTTGTTTTGTGCTTGCAACCGGCAATTCAATTTACCGTGTTTGAGCAAGTGAAGAAGCTGTACTTGAGGGCATACAAACCCACGACCACGACGCTGTCTGCCATTGAGGTACCAAGTTGCACCGGGAAACCCATTCAACGATGTGTTGACGTTGTCTGCAGGCATTTTTCCTCGGGGCCGCCGCGAGATCGTTGGCGACGCTCGTCGTATTTCCGTACATTCGTGCGAAGGTTATCGTACAAGCAAAAGCCAAAGTAGCGTCTGGGGAAACACAGCCAAGCCTGGTTGCAATTCTTCAGAGCTTGATCCGCGACGAAGGCTACATGTCGTTATACCGAGGCCTCGCCCCTGAACTGACTAAGGTGTTCTATTATTCCGACGTAGCAGTTGCGTCATGTTTGTTCGCGTAGGGGGCGCTTTCGGCCGCGTTTATGTTGATGGTCAAAGAAAAGATTGAAGCGTACGTGACGCTGTCCTTCATGCTGCTCCAAGCGACGAGTTAGTCCCGCTCGATCTGACGAAGCAAGTCGACTGTTTTTTCCTGGCCGTCGATGTTTCCTTGCTTTGTGTACAATTTTGCCTAGCAAGACTTGTGAGACGCAACCACAAAACACATTGCGACCACGTACCATGGCTTTTAACGTGACTTTGCAGTTTGGCTGCAATGCCAATGCGGTTTGGAGCCAGAATTCAGCTTTGTCGTATCGATGTGCTCGAATGTAGGCGTCTCCGAGGCGCGTGAACAATTGGGCTCTTTGGTCCAGGCTCTCATGCACGACTATCGGAAGGTACAGCGCTTGCTTGAGCCTGCAACACGCAATTTCCTGTCACGACCCTTGCGTCATTCTCGTTTGGCGTCGTGGTACCATTGAATGGCGTGTTGGGGGGCATTTGCATTCAAGTGGACTTCAGCGGTTTGGGTGTAAAAAGCAAATAGACCGCCCGCCACGGACGAATCTCCTCGGGCCAACGTTATCGCATACCCTGCAAAGCGACGAATGTCCTACCCAGTCGGACGGTACGTTAACGCGAGTGAGCAGCGATGGTGCGGAGGCCGTACTTCGTTTGGGTACGTGCAGTGGGCACTCCAGCGTTGGACTAGGTCGAGAAAGTGCTTGGCTGTGTCCAGTTGGTTGTGGCTATTTTTTGTTGCTTCGAGAAACATCGCTTCGGCACACGCAATGTCATGCTCGATATCAGGGGGAATGAAAGGAAAGCGCCTCTGGGCAGTAGACAGCACTTGAATGTCCTTTTCCGCGATGGGCTGCTGTTTCCAGATGAGCTTCTTCACACCTGTGATCTTGAGTGTTCCGTCGTACAGCTGAAAGAGCTCTGTCGGCATGGGAACATCGTGCATCGTGTCGATCGAGTTGTCGTCCATGTTGAAGAGTGGAAAGTACTGCTGTTGCACGAACACCCCGTTGAATGTAGTCGTGCTCACCAACTCGTACCCTACAGCCCCGCCAATGAACTAACAAGGACGTCGGAGTCGTCAAGCGTACCTTTGGACTTGCCTAGCTCGACAAGCGCGGCCAGGGACGATCCGTGGTACACAGACATGTCTTTGTCTTGGATGTACACGACGTTGTTCGGGATGGTCGGGTTGAATTCGATCACGACAACCTTGGGATGGATGGCATGCAAGCTATCCCAGATGTGATAGTCCGCGCCGTCTATATCAATTGAGATCAAGTCCACGCGGGTCGGCGCGTTGGCTCGTTGGAGGATTTCGTCGAGGGACATGGGACCCTCGAACGTGACGAACGCGTGGATCACCTGCACGCGCGAATGGTTGGCATACATATTTGCCATTTGGTCGCATCGAGTTTTGTCCGCTTCAATGAGAACACCGTGCCAGTTCTCTTGATAGAGGAGCTTCCACGTGTTGGACAAGTGTTTGCCGTCCCACGCACCAAACTCCACGCACCATCGGGCATCGGGACACTCCCCAGTTGTGGTTTCGTGTGCTCCAATCACGGAAAACACCTTTTCAATCACACCATCTTCGCCGCCTTGCGACGTCACATTGAATGAATGCTTGATGAGCCAGTCGTTGACTTTGCGCCGAGAGGGTGGGGTGCGGCGACAGACCGGCATCGTACCGTTGGCCTGTCACCTTTCTCTTTCTAGCCAATCAGCAATAAAGCTGCGCATCAAGGGTAACAAAACGCCGTGACAGCATACCATTCGTCCTGCACCCCTGTTGTCTCGACTTCGAGTTATTCCCTGTCCATCCAAAATCATCGTCGATCCAGCATCTCGTGTTTACCAAGCCCTGCGATCCTCAGTGAATTATATTGCTCGTGCCGGTCGAACGCATGTAAGGTTTAAGCTGTCCACACCTGGTCTCGAGCTCCGCGCCACCAGTACGTTCATGCACATGCGGGCCTGTCCCTCGCAAGCCACTGCGGCAGACAGGACCGTTGGAGGGCTCTACACATCGGGGTCCTTTCAGTTCTGCATTACGTTGTGCGATCTTCGATGCGAAGGGGCGGCGGTTGCGATCGCCATGGCGACGTTTCATTGGTTTGTGACTCACGCGGCCTTCCGACCAACCAGAATTGGCCAACCAAACACTCACTACGCATCGTACCATGTGTGATCATACAATTCAACACGTACGTACATTCTTTCATACGCTAAGAAATCGAGCGCGTTTGGGTCGAACAAACGTACGATGTACGGACTGCCTGCTTGAGCGACAGGGTTCACGCCGCCTGATTGGCTAAAACGTTTTGGAGGGGACCGGGAGAGTGGATATGATTGGCTCCTTCGTGTGCACTAAAATGTCTTCCCAAGATATATTGCGCCAGTCGAAAGGTCAACGTCCAATACCAGCGAGTTGACCTAAACCCTCAAAGAGACTTGCCCCCAGTATGGTATACAGCAATTAAGATGAACAAAGACCTGTTGAAACGATGCGCAGTGAACTTCTGGGTGTAGGCATTGACACGTGACCGCCATCCCGAACACGGCGCAACGATGCAAGTCCCTCGTAAGATGAAGGTCAAGAAAGCCGACAAGGAAGTGTCTGAGTCCAAGCGTCATGCAGGAACGATCCAGTTTGAAGCGCGACAGGGACGAGAACGGACAAATTCTGAAGAAACCGCGATGATTCTGACGAGCATGTGCATGAGCAGCAGCACTGCCCCGTCTGTCAAGGCCTCCCTGGTCGACGGGGCTGGTGACAAGGTTCACATTAAGACCGAGGATGGTGAAAATGATGACGAAACATTGATCAACCCAGGGACGAAGTACATTCCGTCCCTCGCTCGCTTTGACGAGGCAGACCGGGCCAAGTACATCTCGTCGTATGCGAAGTTCAAGGATGAAGAAGATGGAGAGGGGTGGAGCTCAGACGGGTCTGAAAGCACTAAACGGCGAAATGTTACCAACGCTGCGAATCGAATGAAGTACCACGCGACCAAGTTCATCTCGATTGAAGAACTCAGAGAGCATTTTGACCAACCCATTGTCGAAGTGGCGCGGTACTTTGGTATTTGCATCACGTTGATGAAAAAAGTGTGCCGTCGTAATGGGATCAAGCGGTGGCCGCATCGTCAAATTCGGTCGCTGACGAAGAGCATCAGCTCGATGGAAGCCGCTATGATGACTGCAACGGGAGCTGAGCGTGAAAAGTATGAAGGACAAATTCAAACCCTGAAGATGAAGCGCGATGCTGTGATTGCGGACCCAAACAAGGAAGTGTCCGTCTCACTTTCAAAAAACGAATGCAAGGAGGAGAAGAAGGGCGAGAACAACGATGACATGATGCTGGATGAGAACATGGGGTCTGACAGCTCCGGCAGTCCTCGGCAAAACTCCTCCGCGGGACTGACAAAGGACGACGCGTTGCCGCCATTTATCCTTCCTGCGACACGACCCCGACCACCGCCGCAACAATACGAAGCTAAGGGTGGTCGATGGACCTCCCAGGAACATGCGGCGTTCCTCGAAGGCATCAAGTTGTTCGGAAAAAACTGGCGCCGAGTGGCACAGGTGGTTGGCACACGCAACGCGGTGCAAACCCGCACGCATGCGCAAAAATACTTGCTGAAGACAAGTGCCCATTTGGATTTGCATTTGGCGTTGCTCAAGAAAGAGAGTGAAGATGGCGACGAAGTAGACGAAGATGCCAACCACGCCGCGTTCCTCACGTCACTGACAACCCCTCGCCGAGCCAAGACATCAACTGCACCGTCATCGTCGTCCCCACCGAAAGAAGTGGTTGCTGGCATGGATCGACTCAGCTCTCTGATGTTGAAAGCAGAATCCATGCACAGCCACATGTTGGAGGCTTCCGATTCCATCCGGTCGCCTTTGGATGCCTTAAACTTCTCCGCCCCCTTGCTGTTGAGCTCCTCGAGTAATTGGAATGGAAGTGGTCCGGACAAGTTGCCTGAGCCTTCTGGGGTCGTCGAACCTCTGCGCAAGATCGTCCTGGGGCGCAAAGCTGAGTCGGAGTCACCTGACACGAAAGTCTCCAAAAAGCTCAAAGTCGAAGTGTCTCTCGACGACAACGAAAATTTGCGGCCAAGCTATGCCAACGTCAACCATGCCACGGACGAACATGCTGTGCGTGGCATCGACTCTAAGGACACCACCGCTGTGGCTGTAAAACGTGAAGCCAGCAACGATGGATTTATCGAAATGGAAAAGCTTCCTGTTGTTGGGGAGCAATTGTTCAAGGATGAACCACGTGGAGGCAACTCTGCTGTATCCCTTGGGGAGATTGGGATGAACGATGCCCCTTGCCCCAACAAGGCGATCTTTCACGTCGAAGATTCCATCAACCGAACAGGGCCCGACGAACCCGTGGAAGAGCCGACTCCGGCGAATGAAAAGGAGATGGCGCACAACACCTTTGAAAACGACATGGGCGAATTCTGCCCGCAGATTTAAGACGAGGAACGTGTATTTATTGCAGAAACCTGTAATATCTGTGTGTCGTGGCGACGTATGGTTGCGCGTTGATGCCTTGGACCAAAAGGGATGATGATCAATGTTGAAGCCTACTTAACACAAAGAATCGGACTTTAAACATCTTATCCTCTTCGCGCGCGGCAAGCCACGGAAATCTAATGGTGGTGGTGGCCGGCGTTGGGGTTTTTGTTGTCCAACTTGAAATACTTGTTGAATCGGGGCACGTAATGCACCTTGCCTTCTTCCAAGTTGAACCAGACGATGTAAGGGGAGTCGTTGTGCGAGATACCAACAGTGCGGGTGTGGTTAAACGAAGGAACCAAGATGGGGTCATTCTTCGAGTTGCCTTGGTTTTCTTCCGACGCAATAGGATCGCGGTTGAACAATTCAATACCTTGTTCAGCGAGCTTCAATTCTTCCCCTTGGCGACCCACAGCTTGATCAATCATGTTGGGCACATCACGTTCCAACGACGAGAAGGCGCGGACCGACACCGATCGCTTTGCGACGCTCTTGACAATGCTCAACATCACGGTTTCCACTAAAAGCTGAAATAGTCACTACCCTTCTGCCAGCCACTGGAGCGCCCTCGAAACCTCCAGCATCTGATGCACCCCTTAAGTTCGTATTCATTCTATCGCTCGACCTCCACATAACCACTTTGTTATATTCGGCACAACTTAACCGAAACATGCAAGAACCTCTCTATTTTAATATTCCCTCCCACCCGAACGTCGCCGATTGGTCAACCCCATGACGTATCTTTACACAAATCCCGCCCCACAAGGCACGCAACCAGCGCCCAAAAAAACGGCGCCTGCGACAGCACTGTGTCATGATGGAGCGCGAGGGGACGTGAAGAATGACATTGATGTTAGCTGTGTGCTTTGGGTATGCATTGATCTTTGGTCTTTCACATAGAGTGGAGTGCTGCAGAGGAACAATCCAGCATGGCTAGGCAAACGGCTACTGGCCGAACCCCTAGTGGCCGTCGGCCACCAATGCATAAATGCGCATTCGGTGCCCATGACGAGCAATTTCATAGAGATCGCAAACGAGTTTACTAACCTGCATGTACGCGTTGAGCAATCGAAATATGCGACAGTTGCATTACCAGGATGTAGCAGTCGCTCTTGGACATGCGATCCACAGATAAATGCAACGGATACCGACGGGTCGTGACGAGGAAGAGGTTGGAGCATACTTTGGACTTGACATTGACGATAATCGAGACACGATGGTGAAAACGACACAGCGCCGTGGGTTACTCAAGACTGCTTTGTCAGCGTCAAAATCGTTCCAATGTCGTTCGAGCACAACCCAGCAATATCACGGTAGTCATGGTGGCTGTCTGAAAATTGCGATGATTCACATCGTAGACATTGCAGATACACATCCACAACTACATGGAGCTCGGCAATAGCAACGCCAGCGACACCAACGCTACTTCTCGACAAGACAGACATTTGTGCCATTCACGCTAGTGATGCGACAGGATTCGTTCACGAACTGTCATGTTGTATCCGCTTGCTGATGTTGCCGCTTTGCAAAACCATGGTCCTTGCTTCAGGACGACCGAGGACAGAGGACCCATGTGTGAATTTTTTTGCACAACTTAATTGGATTCTTTAGGCAATATAAACAACGCCGTGGCATCTGCGTACAGGGTCCCATCGTTGTCTTCAAGTTTCGCCTTCATATAGAGCTATCGACAAATGCCACGTTAGTACATTTTGCGCATTTGACCAACGCGCTTACTTTTCGACCGTCAACGCGATCGAAGTCCGTGAAGACAATTCCAAAGATGTCGGCTGGAAGGGGCTTGCGGAAGTTCACGTTCAGGTTTGCTGTGAATCCAAGTTTTCCACTCGTCCTGAAACATAAACACCAGCTTGGTCAGGGCGACGCTGTCGTCACGACAAGCGTGTAGGGGGGGGTCCTACCACATCATCGTCCATCCAAACAACTCGTCGAACACTGTTGAAATGCACCCCCCATGCACTGCACCACATCATGAGAACGGGTGAAATAAATTCCGCCCAAGGTACCGATGCCAGGATGCCCGCACAATTTGTCGCCAAAGTGAATGACACTTGTGGTCCCTGTCTTGTCGGAGTTGCCATACACCTCAAACCCTTGGTATTTGCCAGCAATATTGAGCGAGTGAATGTAGTGCCCTTCCAGTTGCTCGGCAGGAACGGTTCGGAAGAGCAAGTCCCTGTACATGTTTGGTGAGGACGTCGTATTTCATAACGAGGGCCCTGCCTGAGGTTCGTCACGTCCGAGTCTTGTGCGAGATGAGCAACTTTGGAAGGCAAGTCAGCCGCACCAAGTCGCTCGAGAGGCTACATTGGTTGTCAGAAATCCTGGGCACATCAATGAATTATTTGCGTACCTTGGGGGCCTTGCTTTTCGTTCCACTTGTTGTGGGGCATGTGGCCCCTCGTTGGGTCGAACCAAAGTAGTAGCATCCGGCAACGCCAGCAAGGATCACACCAGCTTCGAGTGCGGTGCGGAGGCTTTCGCCGACGGGAAAGAAGTCAAATTGCATGCTGGCGAGTCGTCGATTTCGATTGTGAGTCCTGTGGGTTGGTTTGACCAGGCATGAAGAGTCGCGCGAAGATCACCATCACACATGATCACTAGGCGAGTCATCCCCGCCAGCCAATCCGCGTCCAAGAAAACCACGGATAATTTATCCGTATGTTTACATGACAAGTGCAGGTTCCAGAACGTCCCATCATAGGGGTCAGTCAGCCAATCAAATTACAGGAAATCATTCCGACCATGCAATCCCACCACAATCCGGGCAATGGTTGTGAAATGACGTGGCAACATGTGCTTCGGTTTGTTGTGTCCGTGATGTTGATCAAGTTGTCCGAGGGGCAGAGGGGCGACCCCAGCGTGAAACAAGTCGGTGGGGACGACAAGCGTCTAGTTTAGCATCCCTTTTCGACAGGGCACGGAATCCAACCAACTGCGACAGACGGCACACGTTAGAGTGAAGGAGTGTTGGTTACAGTCACTCTGCTGGCTTGGGCAAGATAAACAATGTCGTGGCTTCGGCAAACACGTTTCCGTCGTTGTCTTCGAGCCGCGACTTCATGAAGACCTATGGGTCAAAAGATGAGGTTGCCACGTAAATCGAGGACCCAACCTTTCGACGTTCGCGTTTGTCGAACTCTGTGTGCACGATTCCAAACGTATCAACGGGAAGTGGCTTTCGGAAATTCACATTGAGGTTTGCAGTAAACCCGATGTCGTCGGTCATCCTGCACACACAGTGTGTTAAGATCGAATCGGAAACGTGTAAGGGGTGGTCGAACCAGAACATTGTCCATCCGAAGAGCTCGTCTAAAACTGTTGATATGCACCCACCATGAACTACAAATACGATGAAGGAGGCTGCGTTCCAATGTGTTTCAGGCGTACCAATTCCTTCATGACCACAAAGCTTTCTTCCAAAGTAGACACTGCTGATAGTCGAGGTCTTGTCAGCATGGCCATACACGTGAAATGCTTCGTATTTCCCAGGAATGGAAAGAGAATGGATATAGTGTGCGTCACTGGAAGCTAGACTCGTGCTGCGAAACACGTCGTCACTATGTGCACAGCGCCATGACAGTGACAAACCGCATCGAAATCGAATTTACCTCATGTTGGTATAGTTCGGGTCGTTGGAAATCTCAATCATTTTCGACGGCAACGGAGGGTTGCCCTGGGTCGTATGGTCTTCGCCAGTGCTCGTTCGAGCTTTCTTTGGCAACGTTGGGCTTGCCCCACTGGAATCAAGACTTCGCTTCTCCGCCTGTGCATCATACTTATCTCTGCGAATGGCAGGCGTGAATAGGTGTACCATCATTGCGATCGTAGCAGGCGTTGACTTTGGCATCGACAAACCTTCCTCCATGAAGTAAAAGACGATACGGATAAAACGGTCATCCGGATATGATTTTGCGCGCTCGTACAAAGGCAAGCGGCGGCGACGGTGGACAGGACATGCGAGGGACCACGATCATGCTGGAAACCCAACGCGTTCCATGTTCATCAAGATCTCACATTCTCTCGCAACAGAGGACGACGTGATAGTCGTGGGCATGTATGAGCGGTTATTTGTGTCTGCTTCGTAACGATGCGAAACGTGTACATTCGTCGTGGAAACCGACGAGGACCTCCGAAGCGAGAAATGCCCCATGAGATGCAACATGGTCTTGGCAGTCATGTTCGAAACGAGAAGCCAAGTCCACTGGATCCGGAGTACTGGCGTGGAATCACCCATTCTGTTGGTGAGTCTGTACCGACAACATTCGACAACTCGCTCCATCACCAGCAATTCTACGACGCGTATTCCCCGCATTCCGCAGCGCCAGTGCATCCCCATCATCACGTTGTAATCAGTCCTATTCCCCATGCACGACATGTTTCTAGTGGGGGATTTGACATGCAAGACAAACCCTTTGATGTGGGAGTGCCGAAAGCATACCACGGCCACCACCAATACCCGGTAAGCGACATGAACCCTTTATGAAACCTTACGATATTGCACAGGAGGGACCACAGTTGAGAGTGCAATTGCGACGTTGTTTTTCAGCAGTGACGATGAATCTGCGCCAATTGCTTGGAGCTTACGACCACCATCGGTGTGGAGGAGTGACGTTGTCAGCATTCCAAGATGCTCTCAATCAATGTGGCATTTTTTTGTCCACGATGCAACTTAATGGTATCCAGCAGCGATTTTACAACTCTAAAATCGATGCCATCGACTACAATGCTCTGGCGTCTTTCTTGGCACTGGACTCACATGAAGTGTAAACAGAACGAACGAAGGCTGGGACAAAGGATCACAAATTCTCTTGTAGTGATGCGATTCTCAAGGACATTGCTGGACACTTGACGTCTTCTTTCGGCGATATTCGTCAAATGCTCCAGCAATACGATCCCCATGGTTCAGGATGTGTACCTCGCTCGACGTTTTATGAATTTTGCCGTCAGTTCAGCAGCGCACCCGACATTGACTTGCATTGGTTTGCCCAGTCTTTTGTGAGCCCATACGAGCCACACATGATATCGTACGGTCGACTCATGGAAATGATGCCCCATTCGTCAGCTGGCGGAACACAATACAGCGGGGGCCACCATGACTTGAGGTATGTCGTCCATTGCATCAGCTAGTGTTCAACCCGTACATGCAGAGGGGCAATGTACAACATGAATGTATTTCCTACATCACCAATGTTGGCAAGGCAACCAACACCCCAAGGTGTCCTATTTTCTCCGACGCATCAACATCATACAGGGTACACCACTATGGTGAATCATGCCGTCCCAACTGCTCAAGTACGCAATTGATTTATGATTTTTGGACCTTATGCGTTTCACGTCGTAGGTCGTCCTGCAGAAAAATGGCTGGATTTGTCGTGTTTGTGCTCATCAACAAATCGAAGACTGGGTCACGCACTGCGAAATTTGCGAAACTTCTAAACCTCATGGGGGTGCTCGGGGAATTTTTGTGAAATGTCCCCATTGCAAATTCGACAACAATTTTGATGCCTCACGTTGTGAACTGTGCAACCACTCGATCAAGTTGCGCCACCACAGAAAATCCAAGAAGAAGAAATATGCCAGCAGCAGTTCCTCCTCCAGTAGCAGCAGCAGTAGCTCGAGCAGTTCGTCTGGCAGTGACGGGGATCGTCGTCGAAAGCGAAGTCGAAGCCGTCGATCGAAGAGCCAAAAGAAACGACGACAGGGCCACACACATCGTTTCCATCAAGGTGAATCCATCCAAGCAATTCCGATGAACGCGAATGAGTACGAACTGGGCCGAATTGTAAAGTTGCACAAGGATGACACATACGACGTGAAATTTGACAGTGGCAAAGTCGAACAGTATGTTCCTGAGCAGTCAATCCGCGAATTGGTACGATGAGATTACTCCGGCAATCAGAACCGTTCCTTGAGTAACATGCTACAGGTTCGCTCGAAACACCACCATTCGCCATCGCACAGATACCAGTCTTCTTCGCCGCGCAAACACCATCAAAGTCACCAAGGTCGCGATGACTATCAAGATTATCACGACACGAAACACGGCAAACATCACCGGCCATCATCACCACGGAAAGACCACGCAAAGCACAGCAATGATGAGTCGTCATCGGATGCCACCCCAAAAGCTAAATCCCCTCGCAAACCAAACCGTCCAGAACCAATTGTCACAACCGATTCAGAATCATCTCGTCAACCAAAGTACAAAGTTGGACAGAGCGTCAAAGCTGACTACAAGTGCCAGGGCGAAAAATTGGCCGCTGTCGTTTCAAAAGTGCACTCCGATGGCACATACGACTTAGAATACGAAACCGGCAAGATCGAATCGCGCGTGGCCGAATCACTGATTTCTACGGGAACAAGCCATTCACCCAAGAAGAAAAAAATGGCCGACGAAACAACAATTACGTCAGATGAAAAGGTTATTTTTGAAAAGGGTCAGAAAATCGAAGCCAAGTACGGTGGCAAGTCGGCATGGAAGGCTGGCATTATTGCGCGAAAGCGAGTAAATGGCACATACGACATTGATTACGAGGAGGGCGAGAAAGAGGTAATTTGCCTAAATGCTTTGATCAACTGCTCTGACATAAAGTAGACGGGCGTTGCATCCAAACTCATCCGGGCCCGAGCATCTTCACCGAAAAAGAAGAAGGCGGAGGAAACGTCGACCGAAGAAGAAAAGCCCAAGAAACTCAAATTCAAACAAGGCGACAAAGTTGAAGCGCAATACAAAGGGAAGGACAAGTTTTACTCCGGGATCATTGCACGTGCGCGTTTGAATGGGTCTTATGATATTGACTACGACGACGGAGAAAAGGAAGCTGGGGTGAATGCCGACTTCATCCGAGCCAAGAAGTCGTCGTCGTCACCCAAGAAGAAACAGGACGAAGAAGCGTCAACGGAAGAAGTGAAGCTCAAGAAGCACAAGTTCCAACTAGATGATAAGGTTGAAGCCAAGTGCGGTGGCGAAGACAAGTACTATCCCGGAGTAATTACTCGCGTCCGACTGAATGGAACGTACATTATCGAATACGATCACGGAATCACTGAAACGGGAGTTCCTGCTGACTTGATTCGACTTCGAAGTTCGAGCCCCAAGAAGACCGATGATACCTCTGAGGATGACCGCAAGCCATCAAAAAAGTTCAAAGAAGGCGACAAAATTGAGGCGCAGTACAAGGGCAAGTCCAAATATTACCCTGGGGTGATCGCGAGAGCGCGGTCGAACGGAACGTACGACATCGATTACGACGACGGCGAGAAAGAAAAGGAAGTTGCAGTCGACTTCATACGGGCAAAAGGATCTTCGTCACCAAAAAAGAAGATAGTCGAAGACACTACAACCGAGGATGAGAAATCAAAAAAGAAGTATCAGCAAGGCGACAAAGTCGAAGCCAGATGCGGTGGAGAAAACAAGTATTATCCCGGCGTGATCACTCGTGTCCGACTCAACGGAACATACATAATCGAATACGACCACGGAATCACTGAAACAGGTGTGACAGCCGAATTGATTCGAGCGCGAGGAGGATCAAACAGCCCCAAAAAGAAGAAATCTGACGACACTTCAGAAGATGACCGGAAACTGTCCAAAAAGTTTAAGGAAGGTGAAAAGGTCGAAGCGCAGTACAAGGGCAAGTCCAAGTTCTACCCTGGCGTTATTGCGCGTGCGCGACTCAACGGCACGTATGACATTGACTACGACGACGGTGAAAAGGAAAAGGAGGTTGCCGCGGATCTAATTCGATCCAAGGAGTCATCACCCAAGAAAAAGAAATCCGATGACACATCCGAGGACGACAAAAAAGGCAAGAAGTTCAAGGAGGGTGAAAAGGTCGAGGCGCAGTACAAGGGCAAGTCCAAGTTCTACCCTGGTGTAATCTCGAGAGCTCGTCTCAATGGGACGTACGATATCGACTACGACGATGGCGAAAAGGAGAAAGAAGTTGCTGCAGACCTCATTCGGTCGAGGGAAAAGTCGAGTCCAAAGAAGAAGTCGGACGAAACGACGGAAGACGAGAAGAAGCCCAAGAAGTTCAAGGAGGGCGAGAAGGTGGAGGCCCAGTACAAGGGCAAGTCCAAATTCTACCCTGGCGTGATATCGAGAGCGCGACTGAACGGCACATATGACATTGACTATGACGACGGAGAGAAGGAAACCGGCGTCGCAGCCGACCTCATTCGATCCAAGGAAAAATCGAGCCCAAAGAAGAAAGGCAGCGACGACACGACCGACGACGAGGCAAAGAAGTTCAAGGAGGGCGAAAAGATCGAGTGTCTGTACAAGGGAAAGACCAAGTACTACCCTGGCGTGATTGCGCGCGCGAGGTCGAACGGGACGTACGACATTGATTACGACGATGGGGAGAAGGAGAAGGAAGTCGCGGCCAAGTTGATCCGGTCTCGTGAAAAGGC